ACTGTTCACGATATTTCCCTCAATCGGACACCTCCCTATGCCTACGCCTTGTAACAAATTAGAATATTGTACAAGTTGGCATTGCACGTACTTTACACCCGGTCGTGTTTCCGATCTGATTGATGAGTCGAGTCTCATCCATCTTCTCTCTGGAGTTTCTTCCGTTTTAGGTAAGGAGTCAGGAGTAACCCAGAATCTTGCACTCATGTAATCGTCCTTATTAAGCACAATTATATCAAAGTCAGGCCATGTTATTGAAAATACATACATTTTGCAGATTTTAGTTTACCATAATACAGTACGGTAATGTATAATCAGTTCGTTGGGCCGGCCTTTCTTCGACTAGCAAAGCTGCCAGAATGTCTAAATAATATGCGCAAGCAGTATCAGTTGGATAATAAAAACATATTTTACTTGCGTCCAGTCTACAGAAAAGTCGGATTATCCCCCTTAAACTAACACTCCGTTTTGATTATAAATTTATTAATGAACCTACTCTAATAACCTGTCCAAGATAATCACCTGTACAAAAGACCACTTCCCCTTGTGTTTTTTCTTTTACGACACTGTCCAAAAGAACCACCTGTCATTCCCCCCCTCCCCCTCCCCAGGGCAGTCCCACTGACTGAAGTGTCTATAGGCCACCCCCCCCCCCCAAAAAAAAAAAGGGGGGGGGGGTTATTGTAATGTTATGCGCAGTAGAATTGTAAATGGGCCGATTTATCGATGTCATGCTCATACTGTGCCGGAACGACGTGGGGAGCTGCTGCTTTTTCTTTCCTCATCCTACTTCTTGTGTATGTTTGTCACTCTCTTGTGAACTGTTATTTCCAGGGTGCCTTGATAGTCGATTCGGATAAGGCAAGAGAGGTGAGCAGAGTCAGCCTGATTCCGCGTTTGGACTTCTCTGTTGACATCCACCCCTAGACGCTCATATGACCGTACATGTACTACTTCAAGTTGACTTATGCAGTTGCGAGCGACATAAAACCCTTACTAAAAGTACTAAAACTAAACCACCAGTCGCCTTTCTCCTGACAAATGGGTGGTCTTCCTGGACAGGTTGAGCTGTTTACCAACATCTTTCCACTGCCCTTTCCGTACCCAGCAACCAGACGACTCCGTTGAAGTGATTTTGAATTGTGGGGTTTTTGTTCGGGAAGCGTCGTAAACAGGACACGTGTATCATCGTAATGTCTTTAACAATTTTAAGCAAACATTTACAGTACACGTCGACAGCTTAGTGTAAGACTTCCATAATACGCCAGTTGGAAAAGGGTCGTATGACTCATAACGGATTCTTACACTGGGCAGACGAGGTGGAGAAAACGTTATCTTCATATCGAACTCGAGACAGTATTATGATTATTGTTCTGTTCGATAGGCAGAATGGAAAACGGAGATAACACAATCGTGGACTTCTTTCTAACGCTGCTAAAATATCAATGTAGGTCACAGAGGACAGAGTCCGACACAGTCAAGTGAACACCCCCTTAGAGCGTCCTGACACTGACCCGGTAGTTTTCACCTTGAGACCTCGCCCAGCCGACAATAATACATGTACATGATGTAATGAAACGGAAACGGGCAGTAGGTTGTTTCTTTCACACACACACACACACAGCTGGTTGTGTGGTTTGCTGCTTCTTTCCTATAAAACATTGATCGCCCTTACATATCACTCTCTCCTCCCCTTTTTTGTGTTTACTAATCTCTTGCAACACCTCTAATCTTCGGCACATATGTGACTAATACATGCACACATACAACCCAAAAGAGTGGCAAGTGCGGCAAAATTCTTACAGAAACAAAAACAAAATAGAACGTCACTTTCAATACCATGGCATTGATTTAAAGGCAAGTTTTATTATTTTAAATGTGTATTCCTGATATATAGATCTATGTCTGAACCAAAATGGTGGCGTGATACAACACAAACGACTCCAAGTCAAGATTAGAATGTGCCTTTGCACATCACAAACCAGGATAACACACCTACTGCATCAAACCTGGTACCATCTGACCCAACGGTCTGCTTTATTCAACAAATCGCTACCTCAGGATAACAAAGTTTTATCTGACATTTTTGGCCATTTTGAGTAATTAAGTCCAGGTGGTCAGAAATTAAACGTCTCCTCTATAAAAATTGTAAGATTATTCAGAGTCATTATCAATATATTCAAATAACAGCATTCGAAAAAGCTTGAAAGGTGAAACTCAAATTTTTTAACACCAACTTTAGATAGTAGTGTAATTCTAAGGCAGCAAATTATTAATAATTAGGCTACATGTAAATGAGTTTCAAAGTTTGCAGTCTAAAACATTTTAAAAAATAAACATTTTTATTTCTAAAACTAAAATGTAGGTGTTTTACACCCCCATTGACATTATAATCAAGATAATTCAGGTGTGAGAGGGGCTTCCACCTTGTCTGTCAAGGCCAACTCGGGCTGAAGCCTACAACGTCCCAGTAGAAAGATTGAGACTCTCGATAAAAAAAATTCTCCCCTTTTACTTTTAATCTTAGTATTGGTTGTACGGCACTCGCAACTGTATAAGGTCATATAAGCGCCAAGGGGTGGATGTCAACAGAGAAGTCCTTTACAGGGAATCAGACTTACTCAGCTCACCTCTCTAGCTTCAACAGCACAAAGTCTGCTTCGACTATCAAGGCACCCCGGAAATAGCGGGTCACAAGAGTGTGAGTGTGACAAACATACAAAAGAAGTGAGGAAACTGACGATAGTAAGGATTAGGAAAGAAAAAGCAGCTGTTCCCTGTTGTAGCTCAGGCACAGTTATGAGTAAGACGTTGTTGGATCAACCCATTTACAATTTTTACTGTGCGTTAGAACGAGAAATGTCCCCCCTTTGGGAATTCTCCCCACATGGGACTAGAACTCAGGTACATTGTGATCTGCAAGCTAGGGCAGACCGCAACACCACAAACACTGGTCAAAATAATAAGTTTCTGGAACTATTCATGATCTTTATCAAGACCGTAATACTATGTCACCACATTTACACACGTCCAGGAATTGGCTCGAATGATTTCATGTCTCTCAACAAAATATTAAGAAGGAGCTGGGCTGATTTTCGTTTTGTTTCAGTAAGAGGTTTAAGGCACTCGCAACACAATTAGGTCAGATAAATGCAAAGATTAGAGTTAAGTTTTAGTAAGCTTTCAAAGGCCCTAGCAACGCAATTAGGCCTATAAGTGCCGAAGATTAGAATTTAAGAGATGTTACACAAGAGTAACAAAACACAAAAAAGGAGGAAAGATAAGGACAATAGAAATAAGACTTTTGATAGGCAGGGATGCCAAATGATTTTTGAAAAAAACCCTGAAAATGAGTGGAGCATCACATCTCACCTAAACCGAACCTTGTAAAGCTTATAGATGAGCAAACAAAAACATATTCTCTCTTACCTCTCCCCTTTCCTTTGCAATTCCAACGGATGAAACCCCCCCCCGGAAAAACCGGACATTTGGCATCCCCGGTTAGGAAAGAAAGAGCAAATCACGCCAGAGCCCCCACCAAAGACAGAGGTGTTACAAGAGAGTAACAAAAACAAAAAAGGGAGGAGAGATAAGGATGAAAGATGTTGGATAGGAAAGAAGGAGCAAACCAAACTAAAGCACCTGCCAACCACCCACTGGGCTTAATTGACCCAGCCTGTCAGAGCAAATCTGGGCCGAGACAGAGGGATACAACATCCCAGCACAAACACCATAAATAAATGTCCCCACCAGGGAACGAACTCATGTTTCCGGTGTGCAATGGTAGAGAGCCTAACCATGAATTGACTCGGTGAATGGAAAGTTTTATGCTATGTCTTCATTGACACGATTGAAAACACTGTTATGTCTACTTTACAATATGTAATCTGGGGCTACGGCTAGAAGAATCTGAGGCATGAAACTAGAAAGAGGGAAGAGGTAGCGAAGAACATACTCAAGAGCAGGACCATGTCTATAAAAATTAAATATTATTTTAGGAGAAATCTAAAAAATAATTCACCCCCCCGAGAAAGTTGTTTCCAATTGTCCGAGTCTTGACAGGTGTGACAAGACACACCCTTCACATTCCAAACATAAATACATGTACTTCAATTAACTGATTCCGTCCATGATTTTTTCAGGCTCTGGACAGAATTATTTTTCCTTGTTCAGTTTTAGACCTGGGGTGCATCTATTTAATGCATTACTGTGAAGTTTTAAGTTACTCTAATAGGTATTGTCATATATACCAAAGTGATGGGAATCAATAGAGGAATCTGTTTATATCAATAACAATGACCTATAATCTGTTTGTATTGAATTTTCCGTCAGACAAAAAAGAATGAGGGAAAAAAATTGCGCAACAGCTCTAAGAAAATTTCGACTTACGCATTTTCTCAGCTCTACAAGTCCTTATAACCCATAGGAATCAACACAAAATTGTAGGGATATCACCCTAGTACACATTTATGCAAGAATTTCACAAATTTAGTTGAATATCTTTCTTTGAAGGGCCTTTTTCTTATACAAGGCTCCGTATTATTTACCCTTAGATAAAGCCTACATAGTGACAACAAAACAACGATTTTTGCAAGAATTTCGCGGAGTTTCGATCGACACTAGCGCTCGGAGATTGAGGTCAGGTTTGTTTACAAGTTCTACTTCCTTTCGACAACTTTTAAAGTAGGAACTATGTTAAAAAGTGCACATTTGTTTCGGATTTCGTTGAGCCGCTCACACTCACAGTCACAGCGGTCGAATGGAGGCAGCGGAAAAACTCAGAGCCGCTGTCAGCAGCCGAATGGACGGAATCAGTTAATGTGAAAGATTTTATCATTCCTGATCAGAGGAAGTAGAACGATATATATGAAATGAGTACTACCAAAATGCCATTTGAACAGCACCGGAACCAAGAGAAATCATACAACCAGCTGTCCCCATATTTCTCTACTTCATTCAACAAAAACAAGAACTCATTATGGAAACATGGTGACACAGTCTTAGTAAGCAAAAGAAACGTGATTTAATAAATTTTTAAACACAAAATTTACAATTATGGATACATGCATGATATACAACAATGTTTTACAATTGACAAAATGATGGAAAAAGGTTGAATATTTTTTCTTTTAAACATGGAAATTTAAAAAAAAAAAAGGAAGGGAAGGAAGGGGTGGGGGTGGGACAAAGATGCGAAGGGGGAAAATAAACCTGAAAAAATAAACTATACAAGGCCAATATTACATGGTGGTGCATCAACTACAATAAATCTGTACATAAAGCAGGTGCTTTTATAATATTTTTTTTTAAATTTGAATATTCGATAGTTATGAAATTTAAAGACATCCACTTACACACCAACACAAAAGAATGGAGAAAGTACAAAGGAAGGCAGTGAAGGGGTAGAGGGCCAACTTCCAAGCTTGGGGGGGGGGGGGGGGGGGGGGAAGAGAGGCTAGATAGTTGCATGGTAACCCTGGGTCACACCTTGCACACATCAAACAATTAAAAAGGGTAAAAACAAACCACAAATGGGTTAGTGCATCAATAGCAAAGACGGACTTGTTCTGCAATTTAACTCTCAATGACTCCAAAACCTTCTGCCCATAGGAAAGATGTTTATTGACAATTTTGTGGGATATTCCACTAGACCAGGTTTACTATTAATTTGATCACATTTATGTTCCTAAGTGCGTTGATCACAATATCATAGAAAAATATTGTACCCATAGGGGGAAAAAAACCAACAAGGAAAACTTTCTAGCACCATCTAAATTTTGTTTCAAGAAAGAGGTTAGTGTCTTGCACATTGGAAAACCTCAATCACTTTCAAGTTTCAGGAAAGAAAATGGGTGAAATATAATCTTTGGACATTATCCAAACATTTCAAAAATTACTAACGGCTGGCGTGCTGATATTTTCTTGAGGACCCTCATTTCCTACAAACTGAAAGTTTGGGTGAGGGCAAAGATTTAAAAAATAGTATACTAGCACAATAATATTCCACATTAGAAAAAGAAATTTAAAAAATCTATAATATCCCATATTCACTACCAACTACACAGAATATCTAGACAAAAATGATGGAAAGAAAAATTCCTATTTTGTAATCTTTGAGAGCTAAAAAGGTGTTCCACCGCTCATTCCAAAGCTACGACAACAAAAAATGGACACTTCGGTCAGAGACAAAAATCATTCACCTAGTCTTCCAAGAGCAGTTTGGCTTTAAACACATATAAATAATAAAGCTAAAATAAAATACCCTTTCTGGCTCACAGACCAAATTCACCAGGCATCTTTCCAAGATACAACATAATTGCAGGGAATATCAAAAAGTGATCTACTGTCTCCTCTTAAATGATGTTGACATCATACTTAAAGACACTGAGAACTCTTGTAAAATCATACCCATATATTCTTCTCATGCAATCATCCCTCTCCCTTACCTTCACTCATTTAAGCCATGAAATGCTTTCACCAAAAAGTATGCATACGTCCTTACTGACAAAACTTATTAGGTTAAAAAATATGAAGACGTTTTACTAGAATAAGTTGTGAAATTTAAATATGGGAGTGAAATAGTAGTTTTCTGCCCAATTCCCCAAGCGCATAAAAAAACCCCTTTCTTTACAAATGCAACAGCAAAGTATAGTTTTTAAAAATATCAAAAAGCTCACGACTAATTTCTACACCAAAGAGTAGTGTAAGGAGTAAAGCTTGACCTAAAAAAAACCTTACACAAATAATGAAAAAACCCAAAACAAAACAAAACTCAAGTGTTCATAACACAAGATTACAGATAACCGAGGGTATCGATTTTTTTCTTCTTCCTACAAATCATTCAGTTCTGAAACAACTCAAGTGCTAAATGACAGCAAGGGATGCCCCCCCCCCCCATCTCAAGTAGTCCTACAGATCATGGTGGACCAGAATTTGTTCCACATGCACTCACCGATTCATTGGCCTCACTTAGAACTCTTTTCAGCTACCCCCACCCCTCTTAAAGAATTTCAGTATTGCTCTGCGGTGAATCAACCCAACTGTTACAAATATCTGAAGATGTTCAATCACCTTTTTCTTCACACCTTATCTACATGCAATGAAAGTGGACCAAAGACCCTGTCTTGTTGAGGGTCAGTCTACTGAATAAAGCTCTCACTGAATCCCAGTGGAAACCCTTTTGTATGTTGTTGACCATTTAAAAACTCAATTATTAAAAAAATGTACAATTAAAAAAAAAAAGATAAATGTACTATCATCAAACATTTTTTTTTTATCACACATGCTATAACACTCTTCTGAAAAACATTACTACGAGTGCAGTATCACTTGATAAGCCAAGACCCATGCACAAAAAAGTCTTATAAAGATAAATATGTATGTAAATAATTTAGCAATTTGCTGCTCAGTTTCAAGCAAGGCTTTTCAGCTATCCAAATCTTCAGACACACAAAATGCCACACTAGGAAAAAAAAACAAAACATAAAAACCCACACTACCTCAACTTGCTCAACAATTGTCAGTACACCTAAGAAGTCTAAACCTGAAGCAAAAAAACACACACACACTCACATAAACAAACACACACACACTTGTAACAGTCACCATGGAAAGCACATTTTCTTTCAATGGTCACAGAGTACAAGAAAATAAATAAAAGACCTCACATTCAAATTAATAGGAATAAGGGAATGTAATATGTGAAGTGAAAATAAATACCACAGTAGTATTAAATGAATTGCACTCAATGTGGGCACTAGTCAACGGTGTCATCGATAACTGTCCCTGAATCAGGATGGGAAAGGGGTTACAAAATTTTTTATTAGCACATCTCTAGCTAGGGTTATCTTGAAAAAGGGAACAAAATTCAGGGCTCACATCATTCCTTTAGTATGATTTCAAAACACAAAAAAGGGGGAAACAATATGAATCAGGCATACCATTGACCTATTTCGTCACACAACAGAACCAACCACTGATACTTCGGAGGAAAATACATTGTCTCTAATTCACAGGACTTGAAAAATCTCTAAGGAACAAAAAGGTTCAAACACACACTCTTACTAGTAAAAATCTGACACGACCCAAAAAATAAACCAATCCAACAAAAATGATTCAATAGTAAATGGCCATGTGCGCCACAAATGATCAACAAGCATGACTGTCAGGTTGAAACTGAAAATTTCCAATGCTGAATCCTAGAAGCAGAACATATTGTCAATGATACATGCTGAGAAAGAATTCACATTTAATCTTCTCTATCCCAAAGAACAAATAGGATGGGAAGTATGACGAACAATTAAAATACAAAAAATCCCCCAAACAAAAACAAACACGTAAATTACTGCAATGATTCAAATTTTTCAATGAAAATTACAATAGAAAAGATAGGTGTGGTGGTAAAGTGGTAAAAATATAGAGTCAAAATTTAATGAAGCAAATATAATTGCAACAACAGTTGTTTTTTTTTTTTAGATTAAGAAGGAAAAAAAGTTACATGAAACACTGATATTAGAGAAATGCAAACAAAGGAGACTGCAAGTTTTCTTTGTTAAAGGTTGAGGGAAGGAACATTGAAAGTTCCATGCAAAAACTAGAAAACCAAATATTAACTGAATAGCCTTCCCTTGAATAAAATTTGGTGATTGAAAGGCGACTGAGTAGCCCAGAATTGAGATAAAAGTAGAAAAGAATGAGAAATAAAAAAATCCAACAAAACGACAAAAACAAAGTAAACAGCACATGAGGTATATCACATTTTAAGAAGCCGTGAAACATTATGCCTTGGCAATTCTTTGTAAGATTGCAACATGAACCATGCATTAGTGTGAACAATTATGAGTGAATACCATGAGAATCAGTAACAGACACCATACAAGTCAAATAGGGTGAGAAAATACAACACGAGTGCATAATCTTATACAAGGAGGGAGGAAAAAAAGAACCATACTATCCCGAGTAACCCACAGAATATCACAAGAGATTGCCTTGATAATGGCAGAAAATTTCTGGTCTCTCATAATAAGTATCAACGATACATACATAAATAAATATTTATATATGTTCCAAGAAGATACCATATTACATGAAATTGAATTTCAAGCAATACCTTATACAAGAGTGAAAAAGAAATCTCATTTGCTCACAACATTGAACCAACCCACCCCGTCCTTAACTTCAACCATACACAAACTGTATAAAAACGCTCTCCCACCCACTTTTAAACAAATATTTGCCCAGTACCCAAATCGGTATGACCACACAGCCTTGCAAAAGAGTTGAACCTAATCACAGCATCGTACATGTACAGTTCAGGGGTAATGAAGATTTAAAAATCTGATTATCTCAATAGTATTTCATTCATCAAAATGACAATAATACTTGGAAAAATTAACGATATTTTAAAAAGTCACAATCAATATTAGATCTGTAACGAGTAAGAGTGGAGATAAGGAACTAGACTGGTGAGGGAGAAGGGGGGAAAAGTCGAAAACTTGAATGTTCAGTCCAAGAAGCTTTCCCAGCTGGAACATTGTTGTGTGGACAACAATCAAAATGCATCTTGACACCGATCACATACCCAGAGAAACAAAGAGAACCGAGGAGGTGACAGATAAAGAAACAGTAAACGAGGATTATAATAACAATTGTAAAAAAAAGCACAAGCACTGCACCGGGCATGTGCAGCACCTTGTCATGGCATTCAGAGTCACAGTCTCTTGACCTCCTCTCCTGCCCACCCCGACCCACATCACACTCATACAAGTAGTAACTATGTACAAAGAGGACAAAACAAAAACAAAGCTGGCCGCTATTGAAGCATACAACAAACAATAAAGGCTTAAAATAGTTCACACTGACTAGATGTTTCGATGCTACTTGAAAACAGGGTGGTGGCGCATTTAAAGATGCAGACTGCAGAAGGAGAGGGGGGTAAAAAGGGAAACAAAAGAAAAGAAAGGAGAGTAGCATAGCTGCACTAATACCAAACTAGTAAGTGGACTTTCAATCAATGACCTGTGCAGCAAAAAATATTTTAAAATCGTTATTGTTGAAGAGAGACTTTCAGAGTAAGTTTTCGTGGCAGCTGCAGGCCCCCCCCCCCCATAAGCAGTATTCTTTCCAACACTACAGCCCAAGGTAGATTCAAATAGACTGCATTTTACTGAAAAATGACACATTGGCAATAAGAATAACATATTTCTTTAGACTTTTTTTCTCTGCTACTGGACATGACTGTTAAGACGAGGCCATGTTGTGCCAATGACAGGCTTCCCCATGGCATTCTATGACTTATATTACTCAGCATCTACACAGCTATAGAAGAAAAGGCAAGACTAATAAAAAAAATAATAATATAAAAAATACCTTTAAATGGATTGAAATATCAATTTGAAAGATGTTTCAAAGTTTTTAGAACACTGGTTTTTGCATCCATTTGGGGACACCTTGGGATATTACATTTGTGCTGTGTAGATTTTTTCCTCAATACCAAAATAGGAAAGCCTAACTTTGCACTAATTGTGTGTTCAATTTATTATTCACTGGGGACCCCCCCCCCCCAACTATATTCTTACATCCAAGTAGTTTTCTCCATAGCCTCGACGCTTTAGCCTTTACACTTGTTTCCTTGTTTGGTTCTACTATCTAGAACGAAGTTTAGATCAGCTAAATTAGAAGCTTTATTTTCTGTGGACCAATTTCTAAATTCTAACAGTTTAGCTCCCGTTTCATCATTATGCATTCGATTGTCTTGTTCTGAATGACCGAACGCTAAAACTAAATTTTCGTTGTGTGAAGCCTTGTTTCCAGAGAAAATTTCTATAACTCCCAAATTGTTTTTGGATCCACCATACCAGTATTGTACAAACACTATCTTGAATATTCCTGCATTTATAAAAGCATCAAATTCTCATTGTGAGCAATTAAATTTCTCATATTCAATAGCAACCACACCAATAACTTCAGTATCATAGCCAGCTGCATAAACATGACAATAAAACCCTCTAGAGCATACAGATCAAGAGGGAGAGCGGGAAAAAAACCAACCCCAAAACAACAAAACCGCCCCTCCTTCAAATAAATACCAAAATGGCAACAAAACCTCTAGAAAGCAGAGAAACATCAACCTTTCATTTCCGTATGACACACTAGAAGGGGTGGGGACGGAAAGGGGAAGGAAAGAAGCAAATACAAGAAATCCTGTGAGATCGTTCCAGAGAACAGGAGGATATTTGCAGTGCTAACCAGCAGCGTGGTGGGTTATGTCATTACAAGTGCATGATATCTGTCCCATTCAATAAAAAACAGAATAAAAACAACCCAACTCATACGGAAACAAAAACACAACAACAACAAACACTCAAGACACATGAGCAAATATTGGAAACCTCTCAATACGATGTTGTAGAACAGGCAGATCATAGATTTCTGAAACCATTTAATACACAAAAAACAAAAACTAAAAGCCTCCAGACAGGTAAATCTGCTTTCTCTCCAGAACGACAGAGCAAATGCTATCAGTGAGCCCCAGGCGTCAACTTATTTGAAGATTCCATCGAGTGCCTGAACAAGAGAGAGGTAGAACCATTGACAAGTCTGTTCCATTCCCTCTTGACATTATGCTAAACAGAAGAAGATCTCTTTGGCCATCAAGCACCCTTATTTGAATAAGCTAAATGGCCCATCTTGCCAAAAGCTTAAAAAACAGAACAGTTGCCCCTACACACCAGGATGGATCCAGGAGGGGAAAGCCAGCTTCACCCGTCATGGAAATTTCCTCTTTTAGTCCACAAGCTTCATTCAAGTCCATATTTTATAAACTGAAAAACCCTTTCTTTTGTCACCACTTCAAATTCGAATACCTATGTGTACAATCCTTCTTCCCCTAAATTGTGCAAGGCTGCTAGCCTGTAATCAATGAACATGGTAGTTGTTGAAATGACAGAAGAAGGAAGGACAAGACGGCACAACACATATTAGCCTGTGTGACTGCAGTGCATCCTGTGCACCAAGACCTTTGGCTCTTTCTCTGCTGTACACATCCCTGAAAGGGCACGAAGTCAATAGCTTGGAATTTGCAAACAAGGTCACGGGAAGGGCAGCCGCATTGGTACAAACAAAATGTTTGCTGAAGAAAAAAAGTTGGCAGTAAGCAAGGTCTGCTAAAATCCCCACTCATCTGCCGCAGTGACCTCTCAATATCCAGACACGACACAAAGTAGCAGGCGCCAGTGTAAACTCCATCCACATAGCACATAGGTAGGAGCTGAACAGCTTGTGGGGCTGCTGGAGGTGTCAGTACATATATCAAAATAAAATTAAAAAAAAAAAAAAAACTACAAAGAGGAAACGTGGGAAATTGTGTGTTCAAGGGGTAGCTCCTCCTACTAGAACCAAACTGCTGATAATTAGGAACAACAGAAGAATTATTATGTTTGTTGAAATGGGGCGGAGGGACAAAAGGAGAAAAATCCGCGTTAAGACTTCTGATGTTCCTTGTTATTTGAATTCACAGCATCTTTCCTTGGCGGCATTCGTTCATTCATCTTGTCCAAGCACTTCGCCTCTTCAAAGCCACTGATTTTGTGATTTGGAGAAAATCCACTCAGAGCTGAAAAAAATAGAAAATCAAACAAACAGTTATTTTAGAGGAAACTTTTACTCTTCTACAAAAAGCCAACAAAAATGAGGGGCATTATCATGCTCCTGCTACTTTTCCTCAGCATAACACATACACACTGTTGACATTTCATCTAAAAAAAACAACAAAACAACAACACCCCAGGCACAACAGTTTTCAAAAGAAAAACCACGCAACAATATTTCATTTCTCAATACCAGCACTGACTTCTCTCTGTGAGAAACTCCTGGGCTCAATCCCGTACTCAAATGTCTTATTTTCTCCACAAATGCTAACACAATGGTCGGCACCAAAGAACTGGGAAACCCCCCCCCAAAAATGTAGATTCTCAGCAGTCTGGGTTTTAACCCTCATCCTGCGGGAGCCGGGTTTATGTAGCCCGATAAGCCTATTTCGGCACCTCGCCTACGTTCTGGTCCCGAATCAATGTAGCTCCTGGCTCAGCGCACGCGCACCCTCTTATGTGTCATACAGGTCCCGAGTCGGATCCCCATTCACGCAGGTCAAGTGTGTGTGCGTAAGTCTGCTTGAGTTTATGTGCGTTTGTGGCCTTCTTCTAGAACCGCCAACGTTGGTTCGTAATCGAGGCATTCGTCTCATTCAAAACATGCCAAGTTGGTAGCTCTAGATGTTCGTCCAATGAAATTATAGAAGAAATTGACCCACTTAGACATGAGGAGCTCGAAAGGATAGTCAGGAAACAAGACTTCCATTTTTCTATACAAAATATTTCAAATGAGCTTGATTTTGTATGAAATGATACTACCTGATAAAAAATAAGCTTGTTTGATAGTTTTGAATACCATTGTGCAGGTACAAAGAACAATTTGAGTGTAAAACATTAGGAAATTGACCTAAATTATCCCCTTTCGAACCTCAGGTCATTCATAACAACAAGAGCGTCCAGAAAGGTTATTCGAATGGGCGTAACTACTCGTAATGTCTTATCAGCTTGTGAGAGGGGGTTATTCATGTGTTTTTAACACTTTATAAATAGAAAGCTATGAAGGATAGAGCGTTATTTTCATCATCGGTTAACACACTCCCGCGGTATTCATGGCGAAAACACACGTTTCCCGGCGCGCGCGATGTACAGCAACAGTACACACTGAGTGACCCCGGCGGCCTGTCCGACGTAATTGGTTGCTGATAAGATACGCATCTGGGCACAGACGCAGGATAAGAGTTAATGTAGGTTTCACTGGCTAACTTTCTGATAAACCCCGCAACATAAAACAGTGCTTTAAACAAACTAAGCAGAAAACTATGGAAAATTCACTACTGCTGGTCTGGAGTTTAGTGAAATTTAGTGCTTTTAGAAGGTGGAAAATGGAATTTGGAAACCTGTTGAAGAGTTGCTAACAGCACACGACATCTATTTTTTTCACCAAGAATGGATCTTGTTTTATCCAATTTCTTCAACTACCCCGCATATCTTGCCATCGCTGGCAGTGTTAAAAGCACACTCCCCTTCTTATTATCACTACATACATAATTTGTCATTGACAAACAAATGTAAAATGTCTTAACTTCAAAGCACTTTCACTCATTTTGATTTTAGCATTAACTTCTTCCCCCTTGGCCTTACGCTGCTCCCATAGAATCCTCAAACTGAAAATTTCTCTAAATCAAAACAGATTTGAAAAACAGTCATATCTTATAACTACTTCTTTTCTAAATTCACACAAAAGACTCAAAGATAGACAGAAAGAAAGAGTGACTGATGCTAGCTGCACAAAAATGTTAGCATCGCAATTTGCAAGATTTTTGCCCAAATGCTATGAAAATTAATTTCAAACTATCTTGCAATGAAACTATAGGGGGACAACGACCAAGTGCACGGAATGCCCAATCTAGCCACGCATGTTTACTGTATAACTTATTCCCAAGAGTTACAGTACGTATCCAATATGTTCAAGGGGCAAGTACAGATCCTAAACCACGGAATACCAATTGGCCTACACTATCGCAGACTTTTTCGAATGGAGTTGAAATGATAAAAGTACCAAGAAGGTTGACTTTAGTTAATCTAGGTGGAAACAGCTGAACCTTCAAGATAAAATGACACTGTGCAAATTTAACCGGACAATCCAAGTTGTCAGCCTGAGATCAAATAAACGTGCAGTATGGTCACTTGTGCACTGATCAAGCCCTTGTGATACTGACCACTGCTGAGGGTGTCCTTTCCTCCAGAGAGAGCGCCAAGTGGCAGCAGACCATTAGGAGTTAGTCCTTTCAGCTGAAGCACACTCTCACTCTCTTCTCTGGGAACAAAGAAAACCAGCACTTTTCATACATGGACTTACAGTATTTTGTGTCCCTTTTCTACGAACAGTAACATCTTATTCTGTAAATGACTGCTTATTTCTAAACAAGAAATAAAATCATAAATTAAAAAAATATTAATGCGAAATATCATCAGGCACAAGACAAATATGTATGACTGAGCATTGTGCATGAAAGTTAGGTAAAGGTACCACCAATTAACTGGACTTACAGCAACATAGTACTCAGAATGTGCATTTCTCAAGGAAATCTGAGAGACAACACTCAATATCTTCTTTGCCCTGAATAACAAACACCCCAATCCCAAGTTCTGTCAAGACACATGAGTGCAGCAAATATCCCATTACAACTTTGGCTGAATAAACTAGAAATAAGTCACACCTTGCAGTTTGAAGTATGGGGAATGGAACAAGCCCACAAAAAATTGAACATACATTAATGAAAAAGTAACAGATACAAAGAGAAATTACTCCTGACAAACTTACCTCAAGACAGTAAATACTCTTGCCATTTTCCCAATTGCTCTGATTTTGTTTCGGATGACCTCCTTCCTTGCAGCAACTGCAGAGCAAAAAGTGAATTGAAAAAGGTAAAGACATCCATCCAAGCAGTTTGGTGATGTTGACATCTAGCAATAACTTAATTCAAAATGACAGGGACCGTTTCAAGATAGAATATACTGTTGAGGGAAAAGAACAATCATCCAAAACGGAGGTGCTTTTGGGGGGGGGTGTAAATCGAATCCATGGACAATTTGTCTGACTGAAGGTGAACAGCTTGATGACTCAGAAGAATACAATATCATGACAATTAAGTGCACGTTATATTTTGAACAATAGTCTCAAAGCATTGAAAGAAGTACAACTGAAAACAGAATTACAGGAAGCTCACAAGAGAGTCAAAACAGATCAACATTAACATCAGTAAATTTTCCTGTTGGGACTGAACTCTGGTTATCGAAGAAGGTGGAGACAAAAGATCATTTCGTGAGCAAGTCTTTTCCCACAAGTGATTAAAACTGACAGCCATTCTTTTAATTAAGGGAAAAAAACAACCTCAATTGCCAATCTCACAACTGGAAAGGCAATCTTTTAATTGGATTAATGATTTTTCGATATCCCTCTCCTCATCCTTTTCTAAACATTGGTACTCAAAATGCATTTCCCACTGACATTTTACTTTCTTTTACTTATATTGAGGGAAACTTAAAGACGCAACATATGGATACAAGGTTGTTTTTTTTAAATTTAAAAAATATAATTAAATATGGGATCGAAACGAGATCTCGTTTTTTCTACGTTAACTTTTCCTATTAATTCACTTTACCAACTGCCAGAAAACTTGAAATCTAAGTATTACTGTAGCAAGTTCATACTTTAAAGGGGGTAAAATATCAATATGGAAACAGAAAATACTTTGTTTCAACAATTAATTACGACTCTTGCAATACTATTTTGCACTACAACATAGGAATACCATAAAACTAGCCTTTTATGTGAATATACTAAAAAATGCATAAATATAGGGAGTAATTTGTTTCTCATGCTACGTGATGGCAGACTGCAGCATTATACAATGAGGGAAAATCCAACAGGTTACCCGAAAAACAGTATAACAAGAGGATTTAATAATGTATAGTGGTAATTGATTATATTTACCCATAATGGGTAATACTTTTTTAAGAAAGAAAAAAAAGTGCAGTTAGTAGTGGAACTGATAACCTTAAACATGATCAATATGTGCCTCAGTTGTTTCTTTTTCTTTGCAGAATATGTTATCACTTTCCAGACCAGTTCAAAGTTACTAACAAGTCAGTATATGAGATTAAGTATTAAGTGAAGCTGCAGCTTCATGAACTCAGAAATTTGAAACTGGTTGCTTTCAATGGAAACTACAACAACAATAAAGGATGTCTCAATTCACAGCTCACCCAAAAACTGAAAACAAACAGCTTTTAGCATAGTGAGGGAGGCAGTCTAAGACTACAGTTCAAACAAAAATTACTACCATAATGCACATACAGAAAGGGACAAACACCCTCTCAAAAATATTAGAATTCAAGAGAAATAATAACTTCTTCTCAAAAAGAAGTTATCAAATGAAGACAAAGAAAACGACAATTTGTAATTTCTTCTTTCTTGCCAGAAAGGAATATACTGTCTAATTGCCAAACAAGTAACAACTGGGAACACAGACAAAAAGAAGGAAAAAAAATAAATTGAGCATCACTGGCCCAAAAAATAATAAAAAATAAAAAATAAAATCGCTGTACACTATCAGAACAGTACAGAGTAAGAATGAAAGAAAAACAAAGATCCACAGTAAAGACAAGTGATTTGCTCCTGAGGCAATGAAACTGTAAAATAACCGAAGTGTCACCTGCACTCTATTGACAAAACTCAAAATGACAACATGGATACCTGGACTTGATATACACAAGGAGCTAAAGAACTGAAAATTTTCTAGTAACTTAAACGAAACACTGCCAACTGACGGAACTAGGTCAGTGGAAATGCCGAACTAACAATGACTGGAAATTATAGTGCTGATGCAATTTACTAGGGAGTGCTACATCCTAGAACAAAAATAATGTGCATTACTAAATAACCCACTAGTATCTGACAGTGGGTACTATAAATTTTATAATTTTATGAGCCCCACCTACACTATTTAAACCGTAAAGGAGGCGGGCAGCTTCAACCCTGCATCCCAGGCAGAGAGAAATACAATATCCCAGCAAAACGATGGAAATGCTTGAAAAAAAGATTCTCCCCAGATGGCAAAAATCGCATCCTCTGCATGTGATGGCGAAGTGCTTAACTGCAACACTTGACTCCCATTGAGAGACAAGTTTACCACTAACGAACCGATTTGTAACTGAAAAAACCTGATAAGAACTCCAGTGGGAAAGTAACTTGTGTTACGCATGTTGAATGTCACAAATCAGTCCTGTTAGGATCATAGCAACCCACGTCCCCACAAAGACATAATATCCAAATGGGACATATTTCACAGAGTCTTGTCGTTGCCCGGATTTTCCCATTTTTAATTACAGGGTCTTGGTACAATGACACCCCCCCCCCCCAATTCACTGCTTGCAGCAGTCAACAGTGAGCTATGTTCACTAGTCACCAAAACCACAGTGAATCACTACCACACTATTTTCTTCTATCGAATAGTAGTGGCAAAAGCCACAGAGGGAGCCAACAAGAAGGGGTAATCGACAGCCACCATCAGCCCCATCAATGATTGGTAGTTTTAACATAAACATAATGGGCACACCCTACAAAAGCCTGTCCAGTATTCAATATGGAAATAAGAATACAAGAGTGCTATTGTGTATCCAAATGTAGAGCCCTAGTTACACATAGCAATAAATCGAATCACATTCATCGTATACAAGAGCTGTCAGGTTTATCGCAAGTAATATTCTGCTTACACGTTTCAATTTATCACCCAATTCTCTTTCGATTGGGGGGGGGGGGGGGGCGCGCGGCGGCGCCTTCCTCCTTGGTTTTACAACTCTTCGAAATGACAGCAATTCTGCTGCTATTACTTAATAAAAGAAAGAAAGAAAAAAAAAACCAGGCTTTTTTGGACAAGACTGACTTTAAAGCGAAATGTATTCACTCAAACTGTTGCTTTGAAATTGTTTCACTTTATCATGAAGTCATATAACATGATTACACTGTTTGCAAAATGCTACAAAATAGGAGGCCTCTCAATAATGTGTTCCTGTAGTCTTGATTGGACATTCATTGGATCTGTACATCTAAAAAAAAGAACGATGTCTTTCGATCAAGTCACCATACCGTAAAGTGTTCAGTGATAATGCAGTGTGTAAAGGCTTTGACATCAGTGAGTGACTTTTATACATGCTTTCTGATTCAAAATTGACAATTTAAAAACAAAGTTTGCTAAAATTTAATAATAGCATCAAATTAGGTTCTTCGTGACCTCTTTGATATTTTGATACGCCCATTCCAAAAATGAAATCAGTTTTCAGATTTTAAAAATTATTTTTAAAATTCTGCACACAAAAGGTAATCCCACGGGGCAGTAAGGGAATTCTGCACCCCAGCTCACCTCTCCCAAACCTGACCTATACCCCACGAAAAGTTCCAGGTGATGCATTATTTCTCAATCGGGTCTCCAATCCATCGTCCCAACTTTTAAACAATTTTGCAGTTACATGTAATGATTTGTTGTATGAACAATATATCGCCCAATTTTTTGTTGCCTGTAACCGGGCTTCAAGATCTCTTCAAACAATGGTCACCCCAGCACCCCCCCTCCCCCTTCCATAATTTATAAAATACATCCCAACATCAAATTATGTGCGCTTGTAAAACCGTAACCGAGTGTAAATAAAATGGGAACCATACACGTCAAATTATCAACTTCATGCTTTCTTTAAAGGCAACGGAATACACACGGTACCATGGCTACTAAGTTTAGAGGGCTTTGAGGAAACCTTGACTGAACACTACACCCGTGTCTTACAGTAACAATGACCTATAACATCAACGTATAGAACAGAAATAAAGACACGCATATGCAGCACACGTGCGCATCCCACTCCACGTGGAAACATCAACTACAGGAGGCTGGAATCAATAACTGGGGGATGGAGAGGGTACCTACCTGCAGCCTCGTCCAGTGCCCCTGTATGTGAGTAATAGCCAGTGTAGCTCTCATTATAATACTAAGATTACATTCAAAAGAGTCACTGCAAGATTTACCTTCTGTATCACTACGTCAAACACACTTCACGAACCCAGCATCAACATCAAGAAAGCAAACTGAAAGCATCTCCCAAAAACATCCCCATGTGATTATTCATTGTGCAACAAATAATATGCATCCACCTTTTGCATGGCCTGTGTCCATCAACTCAATTTTCACGTTAGGTAAAAGCACTGTCAAAATATATGGGGGGAGGGGGGTTAAGGGAGTAAGAGATGGACCACCGTCTTAAGAACGTCATCCATTAACTGCAGCAACTCATCAAGCCATCGAACAAACTACCACTCAAACAGGAGTGGCTCCCAACAAAATACCACTTTTATAACCTCAAATGACCCAGTTTACACTGAACAACTACTCCAATGAGAAGAAAAACTGAAAAAAGTACATGTATTCTGTGAAACAACTTCCAAAGAGCAATTTCAACTAAAGCTTCAGAGCGCAGCACTGTAAATCAAGCTAAGAGAGGGAGGGAAGTGATATGTCAACAGGGCGAGCTTGATATACAGCGCAAGTTCTTGGTCATTCATGATCGTATATCACAGAGATAATATAGTTGTGGGGCAGTAAAGGAACATATGTCAAAGAGAAAGGTAAAGAATAGAATCTGAAAAAGAAAACTGCAACTTTAGATTGCAGATGATTAATGCAACTTTTGATTGCAGATGATTAAACGAGAGTCCCGCATACATTAACTTTTCAAAGACTGAAATTAAACTGATCTCCTCCATTCATGCAGCAGTTCACATTTCAGCTAACGAACCTCCCTTGGAAATAACACAAACAAAAAACTCTAGCCTAAACAATTTGGAAGAATTGAAGCAGGATTAATTTCAGTAAGAGGCAAATTCATTTCCAAAGTTTATGTCAGTCATACACTGTGAATAGTTGAGTATCAAACAATTTTAATAAGCAGATCACAGCAAAGAATGTTCACTTTTAACACATTTGTCCCACTGAAAATCTTTTCTGGCAACTTGCAAGATATCTTTGTTGACCCAAAGGAAAACAAACAACAGTTGACAATCCCATGTGTAAATGAATTACTTCATATTCCGCATTTCACTGGACAAACAGAACTGTCTTTTGGACCCCTTGCAGGGGGCAGACGTGCAGTGATGCAATCAACTCACAATGTGTAGGGCTGCAACCTTCCAATAAAATTCTGCCTGAATCATTTTTTTCTGGGGGGGGGGGGGCTTTTCTATCCCAGATCTTTGCTACGCCACCAATCCGAAAAATGAGGTATATTTGTTCATATATCTGTTCGGAAACCCCATGAAGAACAAATAATTACAATAGAGATAATTGAAATGAGGAGGAGGAAAAGTCAACCAAAACTAACCTTTCACCGAGGAGCTAAAACACTTATGTTCAAACATCAGGCAAGAAATACCATTTGCCATCAAAATTAACATTAAAAACTTGCATTTAAGTCTTTCTTTGCTACTACTTGTGGAAACAAAATGCACTTCAAGAACAAAACACAATTAATTCACATATAAGTGCCGCAGACCTTTTGAAAACTCAAATTTACTTTCCGTGTATCAAAACTTGAAAATTTCCGGATTTCATTGGCCTATAAAGATTGCAAAGCCCTTTGTACCAAAAAAATTATTTTAAAATGTTTTAAATAATAAATGAGTAGGTTGATACTGAGACAGAAATGTTATTACCACGAAATGCACACAAAAAAAACTCAAAACCCCTAAAACATAAGCAAATAAATCCATATTTCACAATTACAAACCAAAAGAGAATTAATCAAATCACTTAAGTAAAACATGGTCACACAGAAAAAACCCACAGATCATACATGTCACAGAGCAAAGGGGTTAATGAAATGCATTACTCGTTTAGTACAGCATACACAAAATGCCTAGACTACAGGATCTACCACTATGCACACTGGTCAGTAAGGGAAACAAACATCCAGGCTGCACACAACAACTGCAGAGCTTTCGATTAAATTCTCAATTTCCTTTCCTTTTTTCTCCTTCTCTCTCACGGTGGTCTTTTTTCCTTTTACAAGAACTGCAAGGCACAATTTATTTGTTCTCAATTGGTGAGCGAGGATGGACAGCAGCGCCGACCACACAACACCATAAGAGGAAAATATAGTGAAAAGAATGAGTTAACACTGAAATTGGACAGTTACTTTCAGTATTAATCAAGTATCAGGAAGGAGCTGGTACAGTCACAAGAGGCGTGCACCAACAAATTTTGCTTACTAAGGTCAAAATTTGCCTGAGATTTGCTCTTGTTTGCACCGTCACCTTTGGAAGCAATACAGAAACAAAAAAAAAAGAAGATGTTTATCAGTGAGACTTTCAGATAAAAGAAAACAACTCTTCCAACTCTTTTCCCAGCTTCCACTCTTGACCAAGAAAGCTTCTAATCTGAAGTAATTGTGAGTCATTGTTGTGAAATCAGGCGCTCGTCAAAATAAAGAAACTGAAGAAATAAACCTTTTTTCATGGCCATTTGGGAATTGCTATCCATTCGTTTTTTGTCTCAGCAATCTTCATGTTAAGTTAAAAACACATTGGTGTGTGAATTTTACAGAAAAACACTGATCAAAGGCACAAAAAATGTTAGCTTGACGGCTCCCAGGACACTCAAGCTTTTGAAGTCGAACTTTGAAAGCCATTGTCTTGTTAATTTACCTCGTACCAGCCGACCACATCTTTAATCGCAAATATGTCGACTTTTATTCAAGGTAGACGAGTATTATTTCATCACAAGCAAGGCAAATGAACAAGCTTTAAGACAATACCGACAACTTCGTTCGCCCAAAAACTGACCAGCGCCCGATTCCACCGAGTTGTTCACAATTAAACAACCCCGGATGATTATTCATTAAGTAAAGAATTCTTGTTCTCTTCTTTACAAAATTGAGACTCTGACTACCTGTACAATGATTAAACTCCCTAATTAAAAAAATAAATATCAATCAAATATTTTTCACTCCTCCTTGCCCCATTTCTGTTAAAAAATCAGGTAAATTCCTCCCCAATTGCCTGACCCGAAACACAAGATTCCTTGTACACGCATCAAGTAGACTCCCTACACAGAATTTAATGAGCTGTTTTCTCTTTGTAGGAGTGCTGTGAAACAATGTGGGCATAATAGACTTGACACTGAAACGACAGAAATGACAATGATCACCACAAAACAATTCCTTATGAGTGTGATGGAAGAATACTAAAAGCAACAAAATGCTCAGGTGTTCATGCTTCGTCTACTCGTGTACACATAAAAAATGCAGTTCACCAATGAGACACAAGAGTGCTCCCTGACACCTCAACCCAACCACCCCTTTGACAGACAATTGAAAGAATTCAGAGACATGGCAAACAGTGATGGAGTAGACAAACACAAATCAGTGTAAAGGCGACACCACATATAGTACATTCAGTCCAGAATATTTACAACACAGTACATCATATGATGAAGAGCATAGTAGCTTGTAACCCCAACTATTCAATGAACATGGACACACATAAATATGACTTACAATAAGTCCATTACGTGAAAAAAAAAAAAGCGAAGTGTGAAGGAATACATGGAAGTACATGAAATGTTACAACACAAAGATAATACAGTGCAGCCCATGAGTGAGCACCCAAAAAAAATATGAAGACAGAAATCCCTGCTTTGTTATATGTAACTTGTGAGAAATACTGCATTCTGTAAAAAAACAAACATTTTCAGTTATTCTAAAAAGGACATAAAATTTGATCCCAACTTGCCACAAGTATAACACAACATGCCCTGAACGCCACCTTCATCTCAATGTGGATCAGAAAGAAGAAATCAGTTTTGAACATAGAAACTACTTCCAACTCCGATACAACAGGATAATCACCCACAAAACAAGAACATAGAAAATATTCCTGCAGCACAAGTATGAACAAGAAAAGAGTATACTTTATTCCAACAAGTAACAGAGCATTTAAAGAAAGTCTCAAAATTCCAGCGACCAAAATCATGACAAAATTTGCAGGAGGGCAGTGAAGATGCGGACACTATGATCAGAGCAAACAGAGCACAGAATCTTCAAATGTGCTAAACCAACACTCCAAGGCCAACAAGTGACTGCGTGGGGGCAAACTCCAATCTAATATACCAGTTACTAGAGAACATTTCACTGACGGTACCTACATCTATGCCCAAAGGCATGTGAACTGAGCTACCAAAGCTTCTTGCTATAAATTGTCAGTACAGACAAGGGTGAGGGAAACAAAAGAATTCATAGTCAATGCTGGAATCAAAAAGAAATATATATATGTAGCAAATGGGGAAAAAATAGAAAGAAAGAATAAGAGTTCAAAATAAGGAAGTACATAAACAAGATGAACCAAAAATCTGATGAATCAACTGAAATGAAAAAGAGGGAGGTAACCACCCACAATTCAAGGCATTATACTTGTCTTTCACTTGCCCTATGGACAGAGCCGGCAATACACACATGGATGCAGAGACTGTTAATGATGACCAATGATCAAGCAGAATTAAGGTGAACATGCCATAGCCCAAATACACACCTTCCATAGAGTCTGCATCGCCTTCCGAAACCAGTTCATCGTCAGAACAAATGTTGAGTATATTCACAAGCATCTCTGTCACTGAAAAACACAAAACACCAAATGTTAGCGAAACTCCCTTCTCAATAGTACTTTTTTCAGTGTCTTACAATAATAAGGTCATATAAGAGCCGAAGATTAGAGGTGTTACAAGAGAGTAACAAACACAAAAAAGAAGGAGGGGAGAAAAAGACAATAGATGTTTGATAGGAAAGAAGAAGCAAACCACACCAGAGCACCAACCACCCACCTCAATAGTATAGTAAGACACAAAGTAAATGAAGGCAGCACACTATACAAAAGTGAGCACATCACCATTATGAATTTTTTTAAAAAAGACAATAAACGAAACATCCATATTAGACCATCACCACAGGGCTCCAAAATTCAACCCCCCCCCCCCCCCCTCCAACTTCGGAGGAATTTTCTTATCCCAGTTACACACTATGCATCGTATCCTAAAGAAGAATGGGTACATTAGACAGTTTTGAGCAAAGAGAAGCACAAATCAACGAGAATGGTCAATTAGTAATTAACTAAAAAGAAGTATGATATACCAATGGTGCCATCCAAATGCTCACAGATACAATAGAGAGCAGCATAACAAACACAGGTAAGACTACTGATCACACATGTATGCAGAGCTGTTAAAGTACTTTTAAAAAAGTACTTAAGTACAAATTTAAGTACAATCTAAAAAATGTACTTAAGTACAGTAAAAGTACTTTCCTGTAAAATGTACTTGAGTACAAGTACTTTTTAAAAAAAGTACTTATGAGTACATTTTGAGTACTTTCTGGTAAATGCTAAAACACTTCAGCGCTTATGTAAAACATCATATTAAATAACATATCCCGTATATTTGACAAGTTAGGCTATTTATTACTAAAAATGTAAACAGTATACAAAGCATTTGAATATATACAATGTACGCACTGAACGACGGTGGTAATCGTCCGTGAAACTGACCCCCCCCCCAAAAAAAAACCAGACGCAACTAGTGGGTAAGTGATATTATGAATAGAACTTGTTTGAGCAAGACAATGTGATCAAATGTAAGTCAGTCCAAGAGGTCGGAAAGTTCTACAAAAAAGTATCCAAATTGGAAAATGTAGATACAAGGTTGCTCTTAAGAAAACATAAAATTAATGAAAATGGCCAGCATGGAAATTGAAAAGTGCTTTAAATTCTTCATTAACAAATCCTCAAGGAATCAATGTTGCCTTAAGCAAAAACCACACCAAAAAAGTTTATAACAGAAATTTAGGCAGCCTAAAAAATTGTTATATACATTGAGAATACAGTTTCAGTTTCAATTGATTATAGTGGTAAGACAGATTTTGGTCACACTGTGTAGTCCACAGCGCCCACGGCAAACCAAAATACAATACATGTAGTTTCCTAGAGTCTAGTGAGTGTAGTGTAACCAAAGATTCTCTACTACAGTAGTCTCCGCCTAAGATCCCAGTGCTCGGAAGCAAGAAAAATATGGGGGTCTTAGCCGAAAAAGTCAAGGAAGAATCTACTGTGACTCATGAACCGACGTGACCCCTGGGTGGGTTTATGACATATGGCGAGCAAAGAGTGGTCAACCTTGATGACCAATCACAGTGGCATGAGGCATGCCATAAATAATATGCACACTCATTAGCCTATCGTGAGTCTTGAGATCTTTATCTACGTTTATCCAGTTGCCCCTCCCCTTCTCCAAAAATTTTTTAGCTTTCTATCTCTGATTGAGCCCCCCCCCCCCAAACCGCCTTTACTTTGTCGTTACGCGCCATTGCGTTGTGGCCACACCAATTAAAATTCAGGCTGTCTCGCAAATTCGGGAATAGAGAAAAACTGCTTTCAATGGTCAGAGAAGAGTTCACAGTTTGATGTGATCCCGCTTGGAGTGAACTTGTAGGCCCTACCCACCCAGTGAGTGATGTAAGTTTAGGTGGTGAGCTCAGATGCGAGTGCGATGTTTGGGGAAAAGAAACGCATCGGTCAGTTCACACCTTGGTGTGATCCCGTCTGGAGCAAACACTCTACTGTTTCATGGAGTTTTACAACGCTTGTGATCACATTCACGATAGTGGCTGGTCTTTGACGCGACGGGCCGTTCTTTGATCTTAACTTTTAACTCTTGGTTGATCGGCTGTGCCCGCCCGGGAGTTTGTTCCGTAAACTATGATCAGAAATGCCGGCACTTACCGTTTCATTAAGCTTCAAAAGTACTCAAAATGTACTTTAAAAATACTCAAAAGTACTTTTATAAAAAGTATCGGAGTACAGTAAAAGTACTGGTTTAAAAAATGTACCGGAGTACAGTAAAAGTACCGAAAATTGTAACGTACTCCGTTACTACCAGCTCTGCATGTATATGACCATTCAGGAAAACCAAACACACGGTCTGTCTTCAACATTTAAGAGAAAGTAGTTACTAAAAAAAGAACAATCCTGATTATAGTGATTTTAACATGTTGAATTGTAGTAAATAAACGACAATCACTATAATGGACCTGATAGTCATTCATTATCAACATGTCTTATCCTCTGGTTCTAAAAAAAAGCACTGGAGTATATTTTCTTGAATTTCCACACACTTCACCGTTAACCAGCATGCGAGGCAGTGGGGCAGTTCTCACAATGAGAGATATGGGTTACTTTTAACATAAAAAACCCTGCTTCTAGTAAATATGAAACTTTACCAAACTATTTAGAACAAGTTCACCTATGCCATAACACATTTTCAGTGAAAAAACATTCTGGTACAAGTCAGCTGTAACGGTATTATGTAATACATAGCTTCCACTCATGAATTTTAAAAAAGGAAGAAATTCACGCGAAGGCGTACACGCACTCTCAGAAGGCCAGAGTAAAACCAGCAAGATCCAGAGACAATAGTATGGTGACTAAAAAATCCAGGGTTTGTTGCCAGCTGAGCCTTTGCCAAAATGTGGGGGTGTTTGCATGAGGACTTTTAAAATCAAGTACCACTTGTATGGAAACATGTTTTCTACTGAAAACATAATGTATATGGCAAGGAAATAAGTTGGTCAAGCCGCATGAGCAAGTAGATTGGTGTGTGCATCTTATAACTCTTCACGGAAAGATAATAGTACTAAAAATAGGGCATTTTTTTCTTATCTTGAGTGCACACGTAATTGTATGTTAAATATAGAATATTGTTAATCTTAAACTATCAAACAGCAGTGCATTCAAACACTGAAAATATTTAATACACCATCATAACACCATGTGTCCATTAACAGGGTTTTATTTTTTATATTAATGATGTTATTGCTGAGTAAAATGTAGTTCGTTCATAACCATAACTCGTGTCATAATTACATCATCAGACTTTCCAAGGTCTAGAAAACCGAAATCGTAGAACATATCATCCCCAGGAATGACCAGCATTAAACACTGGTTTGAAATTGATCCGTCAGAAGGGTAATTTTCCGTTCCGCCACAATGAGTGACAATGGTTTTGCTTAAATATGACTTTGATTGAGATATCCATGTTTGTCATAATGATATTATGAACAAACACTTCATGATTTTTATGCAAAATATCAGGTGAGGAACTTCCCACTGTTTCACAACATCCTTTTAAATTGTTGCAAAAACATGGAAGAGCAGCGTGCTGATGACTCAAAAGAGATGCAAAGAAGAGGCAAAATATGCTTGTCATAATGGATTGTCATCATGCTGTGAACGAAATTGTGTCATAATGGTTATGAACCAAACCTTATTCCAGGTAATTTACAGTTGTTTTGGGATGTATCTTTAATTTTAACACAACTTAAGGATGTAATAAACCTTGCTTATATTCTGATATTTATCATAAGTGTATGGGTATGTATTTTAATCAGTATTTTTCTTTTGTAGCAATTGTTATGAATGAACTGCATATTGTATTCTGAGGGCTTTTCAGTGTTGACAAACATTAAAAACATGTACACATATACATATTATGAGGAAACTCATTTAATAAAAATATTTTAAAGTAAATGAATGACAGGTCAAAATATTAATTTTTAGGTCAAAACTGGAAGTTTGTCATAATTGTTTCCAAGTATTTTTCAGTAATCAAACTTTGAATTCTTCCTACATATATTCACATTTTGAGGAGAGTCTAATAAATTAAAACAATTTTATGTGAATGACATTACAATAATTTAATTTTTTGGACCCAAAGTAAAATATGTCATATTAGTTAAGAACAAAACCTCATTCCATGTAATTTACTGTTGTTTTGGGATGTATTTTTAATTTTACCCCAACTAAAGTATGTAATAGACCTTGTATCCATTCTGATATTTCGATTTTAATCATAATAGTATTATACTTTTGTAGTAATGGTTATGAACGAACTATTTATTGTCCATTTAATATATTTTGAGGGCCCTTCAGTGATAATAAACTAAAACATGTACACAGATACATATTATGAGGGAAGTTTCATTTTAAAAAGTGTTAAAAAATGAACGACAGATAAAAATGTATAAATTTTTAGGTCAAAATTGAAGTTTGTCATTATTGTTACGAATGAACCATTTTAAAGGTATTCTAAGGGTTTCACAGTAAATAAACTTTGAATTCTTCCTACATATGTGAGGAAGCATAGTGAAATCAGGCGCTTGTCAAAATACAGAAATTGGAGAAACGCATTTTTTCGCCAGTTTGAACATTTTTGTCAAATTTTTATTTTTTGGCTCAACCTCTTTTATGTCCATATAAAAACACATTCCCAAACTGAAAAACATTGATTAGTGGGATGGGTGGATTTACACCCCCAAAGTCCCGATTCGGCTCAAAATGATGGAATTTAAGTTGTTGACATTTTTAGCTTCCTCAGCCTCTCCGACAACTATTTCATCGCATAAGAGCCCCCAAAAAATATATTTTCCCCCATACCAGGCATGTTTGCCACCACCATTTCCTCATTAAGTCAATATTTTATTTTTCTTTATCGGACGTTTTCTCAAAACGTGACTTTTCTCTATACATTTTTGAATAACTCCACCATTTTTCATCCAATCTTAATTAAATTTTCACAGAATGAAGAGAAGATGTAAGACTAAAAATTTGTCTGTTGAAAATGTTATACATGGAATAGAATTTTGTTGGTCGTGTCTGGAGTGTGGATTTTCACAGATTTTTTTGCAAACTTTAATGCGACCTCAGGAAAAAAATTCATAAAAAATTTTCTAATTTGTTTACGAAAAAAAACCAACAGATTAATTCTTATATCTAATGTTTGTTAACACGCACGCAAAAAACAATCAATTTCCATGAGCAATAAGTGCTGTATTCATTACGTAAGACATGTCAACAAAATCCAATATGGCCGCCATATCCATGGAAATGAAACTTTTTTTCTCAAATTTAATTGCAGATTATTTACGTCTCCTGACTATGCTTGTTATGTGTGAAATTTGGTAAAATTCGGTCCAGTAATAAGCGAGATAGCCTAGCCTTCAGGTGTAAGAAGCGCATAAAGCCTGCTGTTGAGCAGGGATATGCGCTATAAAAATGCTATCTATATTATTATTATTATTATTATTAAGGCCCCCCCTCCCCCATAAAAGGCACAAAATGTCATTTTTGTGTTTTCAAGGACTCTTTAGCCATTGGGTTTACCAAACTTTGGCAGCTATTTTCTCGCTAATTTCACCATTGAAACCAGGCAACCTCACTTCCTCCAATAGCAAATATCTTGAGTTTTATATAAGATAGATGGATATTTATTTCATTGGAAGCAAAGCAAATAAATCAGCTTTCAGATGATACCAATATGCTAAAAAAATTGAGCGCCCCATTCCATCGCGGTATGACACATATATGCATATTTTAATGAGTCTCAAAAATGAAAACTATTTTATGTGAAAGACAGAACAATAAGTAAATTTTAGGGGCCCAAAGTAACATTTTTCATAATAGTTATGGACGAAATAGTGTGTCCAATCGAACTTTAAATTTATTCGTAACATGCACTATGACCAGTTTGCATTGAAAAATAGTTGTTAAATGGTCTTTTATTTATCACTGGACTATAATTAGACCACAGTGTTATTTTAGACAATTCTAGTCAAAGAAACTTGACATAATTGATAGTTTTTTGGTCACTTATTGTTCGTTCATAACTATTATGACACAAAAAAGTAAATTTTATCGAAAATTAATCAAGATTTTTATATACTGTCAATTCTATGTATTTTCCTAAGTTGTTTGCTATACAAGTCTCAAAATATACAGGGTCCCTACCAAATCCTGGAAATTTTTCTCAAGACCCCCAATTCGTGGGAAAAATAAGGCCGCTGCCCGTCAAGAATGATCCCCCTAAAAAAAGCACATCTATCAATGATAAAAAGTCAAAATGTCTTTAAATGATTTCAAATGTACATTTTGCAGTATAGTCTTCAAACAATAGTTTATAATACTGGGTGACTGCCAACCTAGCTTCTCATTTTAAATCTTTCCAGGGGAGGGGGCTCATCCATTTTCAAGAGGGTATGTCACATAACGATGACAGCGCGTGCTCCATTCATATCTAATATATGTATATGTTTGTGAATACACACACACATGTAGATACATTATATCCAGACAACAATATGTCAGTGTGATCTTATGCGACTTTGGTATTTCAGTCTGTTCTTACTTATTTATATTCCCCCCCCCCCCCATATTAGCCTACATAAACTGCCTGAGAAAAGACCTAGAAACAGAATATTGACTGTAGAGTAATAGTAATATTAGTAATAACTTGAAAATATAGATATAAATTATTATCACCCCATCCAGTGAAACGCGAACACTTTAGTTCAATAACAAGGCGCGGCGTGACGGAGCCTGATTAAACACAAGGCCTGCACCAACGCGTGCTTTGCAGAGAGCTCTTATACATGTAGTAGTTATCAAAGTTCTAAATACTAAAAATTTGCTTCCAAGTTCAGTTTTGTCCTCTAGCGTTGCCTCGAGTGTATCTAAAAAAAAAAATTTATTTAAAAAACCCCCGCCGGTACTCACACGATCCTTATCATTTGATGCGAACACACAGGTTCACTGACCGGTGACGATGGCGTACCTGACAAAACGCTTGTAAAACGTTCCTTTCTATCCCCCCCCCCCCCCCCCCCCAAGTGACAGCACAGGACAAATATTGATTTATTTTCATGGCGACACAGCGTTTGTAATGCACAACCTGCATGTTACTAAATGTTGCGTTATCTATCAGACTATTACCGAAAAATTTCTGGGTGGTAACGAAAGCGAAAGCAAATCTTGATTCTTCCCGATCGAGCCTCGGTGTCACACATACACTTCCGCCTGTCGCCATAGCAGTTCAGTTATGTTTCCGCTTCATGATTTCTCAACAATACTGTCTAGATAGCTACACTACTAATATTACACAGGCCCTATCCTTTCCCCGACCCATAACAAAATCCCCGACTTTTCCCCCATTTCCCCGAGTTGGTGGGGATTCTAAATATAACCTTAGCCTAGCTGAAGAAAGGAACTTTGATTATTCATAAATGTGTGTCATCATTGTTATGAACGAACTTTTTACTATTTCCATCATTCAAGTCAGAATTACACCTAGACCATTGCATATACAGCTTTGGCAGTTACTGAGCCTGAAAGAGCAATCATTAGGCCATATAATATGGATGATTAAAGAGTTATTACATAAAGTTGATTTTGGACCCCATTTGTCACACCAGGGTATCCCACATGTTGGCAAAGGCTCAGCTAGTGTCTCATAAAGAGATTTCTTTCACTTTCGACTTGTGCAACGATGTAGAGCAGTACTGGACTAAAGCCACTGTACTACTGTACAAGATTTTTTAAAATCACACCAAACGGCATGTTCAATTTTCTAATGAACTGTTGAAGTCGCACACCGTCTGCTTCCTTCACAACCCAGCTAGCTCCCTTTATTTTTGCATTCTGCATTAATTTATCTCGAATTTCCTCCATTTTCAATGACAACTCGACACACTATTGTTCAGATGCTCGAACGCCAGTCGACCCACAATGAACATGCTGCAAGCCACGCTTTCGCCTCATTCCAAGTCCAGTGTTTTCCGCGTGTAAAAAAGGTATCACAAATTGCTACCGAGAGTGGTCCAGGGGAGGGGAAGGAGGAAAGTAATGGGAAAAGCTAGATGAAGCAGAGGTAGCGGAGTTCCGCTATTTAGCAGAAAAGTGGCAGCTATTGTAATAGCAAGCTATTATCCAGACTCTGTTCCTAACAGAGATAAAAGATCAGACCTATTTATCAAGTAAATTGCACCTCAATCAATGATAACTGGTTCCAAATCTATTTCTCATCACTTTCTTCTCAATCTGAAGACTCCTGACCCAAATAATCAAGGTCATTGATTCAACACTCCGTGTCCATGCAAATTTTGTTGAGCACCTAAAGTAAATACCCTTTTTAACTCATTTTATCGCTTTCCACATTTAACTGCAAGAAATCGAAAGTAAATATCATGTTGATGAAAATAAATGTTTGGGGAAATATTGACAGGCCTTTGTTTAGATCTCAGTCATTACGTTTGCGAATATACTGCCTGCAGTCCTGGGAAAGCAGTCAGGTTTCTCCAGTATTCTCATCCACGATTCCATAGGTGTTAAAGCTGAACAAGTGTGAAAACGAACAGTATATTCAAAACTCAAACAGATGGCGGCAATCAGCCAACTATTTTTCAAATGAATTGATATAAGCTCATTTGCAATTTAGACTCGTTGTTCTCCAACACTCTAGTCGTGAAATTATCATTCCACAATTATTATAGTTCCTTACCCTTTTCTCCAACAAAAGGTAATGACCACGTAAATACATCCATGAAATTGGGCAGCCAGTATGGATGAGGAGAGCAATTGAACTGTCGAATATTCATCACATTGTTTTCATACTTCAAGATAGCAGCTGCAAGTAAAAGAGGGGGGGGGGGGGGGGGGGTAATTAATTAAAATGTTAAAAAAAATACTCCAATAGGGTAAGTTATCTGATTTTTAAAAAAGAAAGTTCCAAAACGAAAACAATGTTCAATATCAACAGCACTGCAATTAAAAGAACATAAACATACTAATATGCATCTTTAAAACCTGCACAACTAGGGAGAAATGTGCATGTATGTGAGTGAGAGAGAGAGAGGGAGAGGGAGAGGGAGAGGGAGGGAGAGAGAGAGAGAGAGAGAGAGAGAGAGAGAGAGAGAGAGAGAGAGAGAGAAAGGGAGAGAGAGAGAGAGAGAGAGAGTGTGTGTGTTTGTGTGCTGTGTCCTATCACCAGGTATTAAATTTCCCCACTATGGGTATTCAGACTTCCTCATAAGTTTATACAAAGTTGAACACACTGTAATCAAAGAGTCTATATAACAAAAGGGGCCACTTCTCTCTTTGAGCCAATTAAAAAAGTGTCCTCAAAATTCGGTGGCGCCCTCTTTGCAAATGCGTACCCTTTACGAACAGAGTTACCCTACTTGAGTTCAAAAAATCAAAGTGAAACTAGCTAGTTTTTTAATAAATTATTAAAATGGTTACGCTGACAAAAAAAACCTCTTCCGGAGGAAAGGGTGATTGTTTTCTTCGTTTAATTTGACTTTAGAATGAAAGGCGAGAGGTCATTAAAAAAAAAACACTAAAAAAAAACAACCTAAAACTTTGCACTAAACGAACCCGAACTGCTGATGAACAGCAGTCGACCTGCGCATGCAAGGAGGTGCTATTCCTATTCTTCTTCTAGAAAAACGAAAAAGAGCTTCAAAACAGACTGCAGCGCCATCTGAAGCAAAGAGCGGACTTCCGGCGGACATTTTTTGGCTGAATGGCCCACCTTGTTATGTACTATCTTTGCTGTAATATAACATTGGATATACACAGGGTGATTTTTAAAAAATAACTAATAAACTTAAACAAAAAATAATTTTAAAAATAAATCTCCAACTAAACATCACAAAAACTTTCCACCTCTTTTGGAAATATTTTCTCCTTTCCAGAAGCCTTGTGACTTGTGTTTCAAAAGAACAAAATATTTGGAATTAAAAGAATTTAGCTGATGTTCATTTTAGATAATTCTACAGAACAATTTTGCTCTGTATGGCACACAAAAAAAAACAAACCCAACCCAACTTTAACCTTTCATGACGCACTAGTTTGCATCATACCAAGACCCAACACTCAAAGATGTAACAATCAAGTCTTTCTCAAGTCAGTTGTTTGCCAGTTCCGCACACCGTATGGGAAGAATGCTCAAGTGCCCTCAAGATCTCCGATGTCATTCATGGGTAGAGAAGTTTCCTTATTTGGAACTCTATGCGGTATCAGTACTAAAACTTCCATGGCAAAGCGATCACTTCAGGCCCAACAGGCACCATTGTGACCCTTTTAAACAGCGATGTTTCAAGAGATGTCTTTCAGCAGATAATGACTGCAGCTAAAACTTTCCTACACCTCAACAGAACGCATTCTCAGGCAGATCTTAACCTACAGCCTTACTATATTCCTGTTAAGCAAACACTTTTACAGGCTGACACGGATCAAAGACTGGCAATTTATCAGTGGTTCTTTGATCAACTTGAAGAACTTGAAAATTTCCTCCATGATTTTGTTTCAGTAGGGAAGCTTATTTTTCACCTTTCAGGTTCAAAAACGCTGTCTATTGGGTAACCCCCCCCCCCCCCCCACTTCATATGGTGTAGCTTTAAGCACTCATGGTTTGGTTTGTGTTTGGCCGCCATCAAACATTTTGAATGATGAGTTTAAAATGTCTAAAGTCCAAAGGAGGACATGTAAAGCACTGGTTCTTGGAGTACCAGAATAAAAAAATTTTCTTCTATGATCCTGCTTGAGAAATGAAATTATATAGTTTACAAGTCACTGAGGTGGAAAAATTAAATTCTAAGAGAAGGAAGAAAATTTTTAAAAATAAATTGTTTCAAAACTTTCCTTCCGTTTTAAATATAAGTTTCTCCTCTGGATTTCACAGAAAACACAATTCCCTCAGAACGAATTACATCTATTCTGTTAAATTTTTTTTTTTATCACCCTATGTAAAAAGTATTACAAGCACATTGATACTAAAAATGAAAGTTCATGAATGCAAAAGACATAAATTGTGCATACTAACCTTTGTTGTTGTATACATCTAGATAGTTTGGTGCTGAAAATATTGTTATCAATGAAGGGAAACCTGTCGTCTGGCTTTTTCTGTACATCCTATACCTGAAATAAGAAAATCAAACCAAGTCTTTAAAAACACAAGCAGTAAGCAGGGTTTCCACTCATCAAGAAACAAAAACATTTTCAAACTCAAAGAGATGAAAGAGTTAGGAAAAAAAAATGAAACAAAGAGAATGCAAGACGAAGACATTTCTACTAAAAAAAAACCTACATTCCTACAATATGGAAAACATTGAAAAAGCCTAAAATATATGAATTAAATGGCTTTAAAAGACCAGTCACTCTTACATCCATTGCTTTCAATTGCCTTGAAAAATTGATCCTCTCAAATATTCTGGGTTGTGTTCATGGAAATCTAGATCCATTCCGGTTTCCATACAAACAAAAGAGGAACGTAGAAGATGCTGTACTTGTTTTTTGTGACTCTATACTGAAAAACCTTGAAACATCTACAACGTATATATATATACGATGGTACTTTTTGTTGACTTTTCCACGGCATTTAATACATTTCAACTGCATATTGTTATTGAAAAACTTCTGAGTCTGAGAGTTAGTCATCGTATCGCAGCATGGGCCCTGGAATTTTTGACAGGCAGACCACAATATGTGAAGCTGAACAACACAAAATCTTACACAATCCTTTGTAACACCGGCAGTCCTCAGGGGGGTGTTTTGTCAGCAGTTTTGTATACAATATATACCAATGATCATAGAAGTAAAAATAAAACACGCTTAATAAAGTTTGCAGATGACTCCGCTATCATTGGATTAATAATAAACCTTGATGAAAAAGAGTATTTCGAAGAAATATGTATGTTTTTTAAATGGTGCAATTCAAATTTTCTAAAAGTGAACCTCTCAAAAACAAAGGAAATGATTTTTGATTTTAGAAGAGAAAAACCAACATTCCAACCACTCGTAATTGAACATGAAACAATTGAAATCACGGATTCATACAACAAATATCTTGGTCTCACAATCGACAACAAATTTACATGGCAAAACCACGCAAACAATATTATTAAAAAGGTGAATCAGAGAATGTACTATCTGAGGAAACTTAGGTCTTTCAATCTGAATCCATCCCTCCTTCAGATATTCTACATCACTACCGTAGAAATTTTGATAAATTTTGATATTGCTTGCTAAGGTAGCAATTTGGTAAGGCAAAACAACTTGATAAGAAAGGCATCTAGAATAATTGGTAGAGACCTAAGTAACTTTGAATATCTGCACAAGACAAGCGTTTTTTTTTAAAAGTCGGAAATAATGCTAACAGACCACCCACTGACATCGGAATTTTAACTATCGACCTGCAGTAAACGATACATTTCCAAAAAAGCAAGAACAGACAGATACAGAAATTCATTTGTACTAACTGCAGTGAGGTTACTGAACACACAGTGTTACAAATGAAACAGAGAGAGAGAGAAAGAGAGAGTGTTTTATGGAGCGGGTTGTCCCAGCACGTGAGACATGTATTTTAAGCCTGTCTAGTGCATTCACGCGAGAGCCCCTTTAGGTGTAACTTTTGTAACGTCTACTGCCATTGTTAACGACAAAGACAAATTTCTCCCTGTGAGAAGAACAAAGATTGCCATTGTCATGACATTTAGAAAACAAAAAATCATAATAAGAGTTTTCTCTTGCTAAAATAAGCAAAGATCAAATTGTACAAAGACATCACAACACTTACCCTGCATCTTGTGCTTCATGTGCTCGAATTATGGACAACAAGTTGTTTTGTTGCAAGAAATCACAACATGCTGCATAGCTGGGGAAAATAGAAAAACACAAAAAAATAGACATCTTACGACAGTACGTACATAAAACAGAAGACAACTTATACAAACAGCATGGAAATATTCAAATAAAAATTTTTGCAAAAAAGAGTCTTAACCCTCTGAGTGCGCATCACGACCACTGACTTGTACCTCCCTTCCGCGCGCATTCCGACCACTGGTCGTGATCCGACATGAGTGTAGAAACTATACCGCTGACATGAAAATAGCCATTTTTAAAACTGCTGGTGACTACAGTCCACCAGTGCAACGTTTATTAGAGCCGCTGGCCGCGCATTTCGCAGTTGGGGATCGGTTGGGAGTTTTTTATCGGCAATTTTCTGGGATTTTGTTTAGTTTTCAAAATGTTGGATTCGTCAGCTGATTCAGACACAGATTTACCCAACATTTTTCTGGAATAGGGCGATAGGGCGACAGTGATAAAGAGTTTGAAGGATTAGGTCCTTAAATAAAAGATTTAGATCTATGTGTGAATGATTAGGACATCATGTCGTAGATCTAGATCTAGAAAGGTTCAAGCCCAGAAGGGGACGTAGATATTCCTGCTAATCTCCAAGAAGGCTGGACTAAAAATGAGGATTTTGATACCAACAACAACAGCATAATAAAAAGCATCTGACCAGACATAAGGGTAGTTCATTATGTAAGACACATTTTTCCTACTACTGTAATTAAGAAATTATGATAAATAAGAAAGATATGAGCTTTTTTTTTATGCAATCATGTTGAAAATTAGCATTTTTCTAAAATAAACCGGGCACTGAAGGGCAGTAATGGTAAAAATGGCTTAGCTAGACCTGCATGTGAGCCTAAACCAGATTGTCTGAAAATTTTGCGCAAACCCCCCGAGCTTTTGTGGGTCTCATAAGGAAGGACTTCCGAGTAACGAGCGACCACCCCAACAAACAAAATAAAGAAGAGACCTAACCCTACCCCAAAAAAGAACCTGCAACGGGCCTCATGTAAAAAGGCCAGCACAAGTCCAAAATAAATTTTTTTTTTTAAACCACACTCCAAAACTAACAAGGACCATAGATCTAGATCTAGGCCTACATCTACATTGCTATAGGGTTTGATACAATAACACAGTAGAATTGGAATATGAATCCTCAATATAGATCTAGTAATCTTAATAAATATAGATCTAGATCTTGTAGAACAAGTGAATAGGAATAGGCCTTGAACTAGAAATCCGCATCCGATTCCGAACAGAGGAATTCGGCTGAGTCTAGAGATTCTAAATAAATATTATAATTCACGCACCTGATGAAATGCTTTTTACCAACATTAATATTACAGCACAACCTATGATAGGGTTTGATACAATAGAATTGGAATATAAATCCTCCATTGAGGTCGATAATGATCTAGATCTAGATCTAGAGTCTATTAGAACAAGTGAGTCGGACTTGAATGAATCCACACGATCTGATAATTAGTCAACAAACGAAATTCAAAATGGCCGCTCTAGCACGAAACTGAAAGTAGATCATTTAGGTCGTCGTCCTTTTTCGTATTCGCATTTCTAATCAGGTTCCGACAATTATGTCGGAAACGCCGACGTCGGCACTCAAACGAAAGTGCCGACAAAGCCGACGGGAGAAAAAGGGGGCGCTGGCAGTCGGCCAGGTCTCGCACTACGCACATTGACTGATACAGGTGGGTCTAGCGATAGCATCGACCGGCTCGCGGGTCAGGTCGCGATTGTCGGATTTCAGACGATTGTGGGCAAACATGCAGGTCTAATGGGTGAAAGCACTGACAGGTTAAAAAACCTGAAATCCGAATTAGTAAAATGCCTACATCTGAAAATTACACGCATTGAGAAATGTCGTCAGATAAACACGCATTTCATAAATAATGATACATGTAGTACAGGTACTTTCATTTAAGGAATTCCTTTGAAAACAATCCATCCAACCGGGTTCTGGGTCCGCAAAACAGCAATGTGCTATTCCTGGATGTTAATTTTTGTAACATGTATTTTATCACAATCCCCACTGAGACACACATTTTTTTAAAGAGCCGTGTCACTGTCACAGTCCACATTTTTTAAAACTCTCGCACCTTCACAAGCAGACTCTTCTCCGCTCACATGTCTAAACCAAATCTGCCACTTTATGAAATCTAAAAATCTGGATCTCAGAGGAAAAAAACGGGGATCAACGACAAATCACCAAGGTGACTAGCCAGATGAATAAAATTTTTTCCAGAGGTGTCCATAAATATATTATATTCCATGTATATGCCCTCTGAGCACGCGTGCGCGTGTTTTATTATTACTATTTCTTAATTCTGAAGTATCACATCAAGCCTCGAAAGACGCTTTAACCTGTGTGCATGAACTTTAGTTGACCCCGTCAACGGACGGTCGCTCCAACACGCGCGAAACTCGCACGCCGAAGTCATGTCACGTGATGAGAACGCATGTTTGAAAGTTTTACTCACGGGTCTCGATGACGGGCCCGACTTAACAGAACTTGGGGTTGGAGAACGCTTGTTTTGAGTAACAGCAGAACTATGAATAATATGGATCATTTGTGTGCCGCGATTGAAACAGTTATCAGGCCATCATCGGAGAATTCTGAAATTACCTGTCTGGTAGCCTAACAACTGTAGACTATACCGCAACTAAAGTGAGCAGGCCAGATCTAGATCAACCGCTGAAGACTCCAGTGTCGTATGAAACAATGAAACAAACACGTCCTTGGCCTACACCCAGGCTACACTACACTGCCCTCGGCTTTGGCCTATTGAGAGATCATAGGCCTTCACCCCTACTGTACTATTTTTCTGTGTGCATCTTATCTACATTTACTGAAAGAATGAATTTCCTTTATAAAAGAAAAATAAATGACAATAACATTTAAAGTTTGACCGCGATGTGCTTGTGCTTGTCCAAACGACCCACAGACATGAACCAAAGATGTCAAAACCAGCCACATTTTGCAAAATATGGCTAAACCTGGGCAAATAACAAAGTGGTCTTGCCAGATCAATAACATCGAGGTCGTTGGCCTAGTGTTTACTGCGTTGGCCTAGTGTTTACTGCGACATAGATCAAATTGGGTTATTTCTGGGCTTGCAACGCTCATTTTGGCCAGTAGGGCAAGTTGAGACAGATCAGCAACGTAACCAAATGCAAGGAGCTAGAGACTGGATGGATAGAATGACTATTTCCTAAATGTTTACATGAAGTCAACAATTTGTCCCAAACTGGAAAAGTTGAAAAGCTTATTTTCAAAAGCCGGAATTCCGGCATATGCCGGAAAACTTTCACCCATGACTTAGCGTTAGGAGGGTTAAGAACCCATTTGCTTTGTATCACATCCTATTTTAGTTAATCCTGAGTCCTGAAAGTATAGGCAACAATAAATTTGCTCCCATCACACACACAATTCAATAGACAATGACAAATACCTGTAAAAATATGAGCAACCTCTGACAGTGTTGTGCGTGAAATGTTCTGATGACTTTTCATTCCCAAAATCCTCAAGAGGATCTGACCATAACAAATCACACATGGGACCAAATGCTGGTGGCTCTTTGAATCGATCCAACTGAAAATAGTGAAAGCACAAAATTAGGGGAAAAAACAAAACAGGGTTACAAAGTCAGTACCTACATTCAATTTCTTAAAAATCAACATAAAAAGGACAATGAAGATGACAATATCGAAGATTCTATTAAAACCAACCGATCACAATGTTGCCACATTTGTGTTTGCAAAAAGAGTATATTTTTTTTCTTCTTTTTAATAACAGAACTTGAAGGAGCCTAAAATAAATCTCATAAAAACACACACACACAATACAAAGTCCAGACACTTTGAGCGATTACTTGTACATGGCAAAAATTGTTTTCTTTTAATTAGTTGGGTTTTTAAAAAAATATTAAAGTTCAATATTGTAAGAACTTTCAATACCTTGTACAAACACTACTAGCACACTATGCAAGCTGGCTATCAAGGCGACAATGACAAACTGATCACCAAAACAAAATAAAAAACTAAATGGCAAAAGCAATCAATGAAGTCACGTAGCCTTGCTGGAGCTATCATGTGAGACAGAGAGCTTTTAGTACTAATAGGAGTTCTGCAGCACTTGCAATACCAATAGGTCATACAAGTGCCCAAGATAAGACATGTTATTGTCTAGAGAGTAACATAGAAAAAGTAATTTTGGAGAGATTTTATAAGGATGACAGATGTTTGACAGGAAAGAAGAAGCAAAGCACTAGCCAAAAACCAAGGTAATTTTTACGTAAAAAACCCTAACACGACAAAAGGAAATGAGACAGATCAAGGGCCTAGAAAATGAAGAGGATGCCATTATAAGCCTCTAGTGGGTGACTACCGACAAACAAAAACACCATATCAAAATCACCTTTCTGATATCATCTAATGTGTGAATTTCTGGCGACAGTCCTCCGTGAACACAAAGAAATTGCTGGTTCATCAGAGCAGAGAGGGGCAAGCAGTCAAAAGCTTCCATACAAGCATCATAAACTCTCTCTGTGTATTTGATTTTACCTGTAGAATTCAATAACAAACAAAATTACAATTCAGAATGTGCTCAGGAAAAAAAAAGATTGTTCACCTTCAAACAGCATAACATTCTACATAGCAACAGTATCGAATACCTGACTATCAGCAAAACAAAGTTATTTGACTTCAATTGCCACAGTCATAAAGAGAATTACGGCTAAGGGACATTCATAGGTCATACAAGTGCCCAAGATTAGACATGTTAATGCCATAAATTCTCACATTTTTTACATGGTATCAAAATCACTGAAGCCTGCCAGTTTTCACAATGCAATAAGTTGCTGAAATTCCATACACAGGGTTGTAAGTAAATAGGCACTCTACATAAATTTGGAGAGTAACCTGACACAGGCAGGAGTTTCTCTCGGGAGATATGTTCCATGTAACGTTGAAAATGACAAATACGTCTCAATTAAAACTTCCTGATGGCTACCCCCCCCCCCTCCCCCCAATTGTCAGTAAGTAATGTGCCATGTTGAATTAAGATCTGGGCAGCAATGCTATCATCGACAGATTTCCGACTTTTTCCTAAAAAGCTTTCAACCGTTAAAATTTTTGTATGGGACGAACACTACAGGGGTTATAACATGCGCAAAAATCAGTCATGAAAGCATCATGTAATTAGTCATTCAATTAGATTATTGAAAAGAAAATATTACTTTAAAAAAGAAATTTATAAACAACCACACTCCCCCCACAATGGGCTAATACCCATGAAAAGGCATACAAATCTAAAACACTGATAACCCTGCAAACATAACTGAATACCAAATTAAACTGACACAATTGCTTTTGCCGAAAGAAACAGCCTCTTCAGAATGATTTGCATAGGGATCAGGATAAGTTTTAATGTGGATTACTACAGGTGCCGGTTCATAATTGTGAATTTGTAAGAAACATGGGTATACATATGAACTGGAGTCAAACTTTTCCCCCCCATACAAAAATTGCATAACACAAAACCCCCCAATAAATTTAAAAAATAAAAAATTAAGTAAATGACTGTAAACTGGGTACTTTCATTGAGCAACAAAAAGTAATTAATTAGCATACAAAAGATAAAAGATAAAGTGACCCAAACAATAAAGCATACTTACATTCTTGTTTAAATGTGAAATACTCTGTAAGATGCCTACATTCGTGATTGCCACGCAACAGGAAGAATGTTGTTGGATATAAAATTTTTAAAGCCCATAGGTAAAGAACACACTGAAATGAAAAAAGAAAAAACAATGTGTTACAACAAAGCATTTGTGACAAAACCATGGAAATACGGAGCTCAAAAAACATAAATACACTTGTATACACATCAGAAAAGAATCAATCCAGGCGTTGATAATCCATTGTGCAGCACTTGAGGTAGTATCCAGTAATCCAGAGAACAAAAGTAATCCAATGTGAATGAAACGAAGTCACAGCAGTATATCCACAATTAGGGAACAAGCCATCACCGCAAACAGCTGTAATCACCAAATAACATTTACATAAACAAAACTAATTAATGTCACAACACGATTTTACCTGAAACAGCTGAATAAGAATAATACACCAACAGCAGATAACTGTTAGGTACTGATGTTTTTTGTTTTTTTTAATGAAATTATTCTTTAAAGACTGGAAACTTCTAACATACTTTTATGTCATGATCAAAAGTATTGATACAATCACTTGTTAATATATAATTGAAAGCAACTGAATTTCTGTTAATGCTCCTAAAGATATTTTACTGACCTCTATGCTAAAATAGCCTCTGTCTACATAATCCCCTAGGAAGAGATAGCGTGTAGAAGCAGGGGGACCTCCTACTTCAAACAGCTTCATTAGATCAAAGAACTGACCATGGATGTCGCCACAAACTGAAATAATAAATAAAAAAAGAATGTAAGTAAAATGCACACTTTTGGAAGTGCGCACTTATTCATTAAAAAATACATACATGGGTACTTGTACAAATCACAAAGAAGAGAGGTAAATAAAACAAAATGCAAAGTCCCATGACATACTACAAGGAAAAAAACAACAAAAAACAGTGGTGTGTCTATTGAGTAAACGAAGCTTAGATTACTGAAAATCTAAGCAGTATTAAGTTATTTTAAAAATATTTCAAAGAAATCACCACAATATTTTACAAAATTGTATTGAAGCAACTGTCCCAAATGAAATGTCATTGTGTGAAAATACCTTCCAGCACGACTTCACTAATGTAGTCAGTATTCCTCGAATATCACATGGATTCCCTTCCAGAACCTTACATTATAATGCAAAAGGGGAAAAATTCTATTCAGGAGAAATGATACTACCGAATCCACAGCTGAACCTGTCAAAGATTCCATTGTCAAAAAGAAAAGTGTTCATCTGAGTGTTACAATTTTTTGTGGGAAGTGGTCATTTGAGCAGGTTCACCAGTATTTCCCACCATTATAAAAAAAATAATTTCACATTTGGAGTACTGAATAATAAGCCCTGAGCTGGCACATCTCCGCTAACCATTCGCCAATACAGTGTCCCAGCTTTTATTTTCTATTTAGAGAAAAAAACCAAAAAAACCAACCAGTCCTCAAATTGTGAACAGCGATATTGAGAGGGAATACTGTACAATTGGGTAAAAAAATACGTAAAACAGCTCATCAGAATATGATTCCTCAGAACACAGGGTTATGTAGGAGTTGGATCTCAATAACTTCATCACATGAGCTTGTGTTAACATCAATGAAGCCTAAAATCTAGCAGATCGTGCGATAAGCACAACTTAAAAACAAGAGACCACAATTGAAACAAAACAACTCAAATTTCCCAAAAAGAAGAATAATTACATCTACAAATATGATTGGAATGGACTAACAATGCTAATGAATCCAATGCATTGAAATTTGAAATTGTACATAAATAAGAGGAATAAACGGTTGTTACCTGTGACAGGAGCTTCAATATCGATCATAGTTTTTTCCTGGCGCAGGAGGGCAGCACCTTCGTTGATAATGCGTAATGCCACATCTTCTGTGACACGTCCTTCAAGGATGAAGTGTTGTTTCAAAACATCTGGCCTTGGCTTTCCTTTGGCATCAAATGCTTCACTCATGGAAACTCTATGACTAGGAGGGAAAGGAACACCTGAAAAGAAAAAACAAGGAGAAAAACAAATCAGGTTTATGTTATAGTTTTGGGGGGAGGGCTTTTCAAGACATAAAACGGCTGTTAACATCCAGAGAGGTCCCACGAAAGCAGCCATTTATTCTGAAAGGCATGAAAATTTAATAAAATCTTATTTTGGCCGCACTATTTTTAGTAATTATAAAAAAAATTTCTTTTTGTTTAAGTTTTAGACATGAACGTTTCCTGGATGGGTCAAGACCACCCCGCTGAACAGTGAGAAACCTTGAATAATCATAGATAAGAGTCAGTCGCCACTGCATCTTCCCTCCCATTGTGAGAAACTTTCCTGTGGCTACTGTCCCCCATTGTGGTATCAAAAACACGTTTTATATTAGTAGAGGTTTTACGGCGCTCGCAACTTCATAAGGTCATATGAGCGCCAAGGGGTGGATGTCAACAGAGAAGTCCTTACAGGGAATCAGGCTTACTCTGCTCACCTCTCTAGCCTCAACAGCATGACATTATTGACATTATTGGATCCGCCCATTTACAATTCTACTGTGCATTAGAACGAGAAATGTCCCACTTTGGGAATGGCCTAAAGACACTTCAGTCAGTGGCATCGCCGGGGGGAGAAGAGTAAAAAAACACCAGTAGTTACATTTTGTTTTCGAGTGAAGAGAAGCACATTGACACAATAACGCTCAAATAGCGCTGGAAGCAAGAGAGATAGAAACAAGAGGGAAAAAAAGAAGTAGGACCTACCAGTAGCATCATCCAAACACCCACCTAGGGGTCTCAAACTTGCAGCCCGGAGCCATTTGGGACTCACATGACAATTATTTTTGCATTCCTTACTTTGACATCAAATATTAGTGTTAGTTCAGCTCGCACAATAGCTCTGACTCAAGAGAGCTTTCGATGGTGTTTGTTCATAAGTTTTAGATGTCATTTCAAAGTTTCACTTCATATAAAAATTACTTGAAACCCTTTTAAAATGGAATGCTTGATGCCCCCCCCCCCTCCCATGTGTTCATCAGATGGTCGTTTATTTTTAGTATCTTGGATTCTAAAGCTCAAGTCAGGACCTCAATGAACCTTCTAATACAGAGATTCTTTGCAGCTTCCAGGATACGAGGCCAATAATTCACAAATCAGATTTTATCATTACCATTGTCATTGTCTATTTTGCACACTGGAAACTTGAAAGTTTTTCAAGTTTCAATTTCGCCCCCCCTCATAGATACGAGGCCAATACGCCATATAAGACCTTCGCTTTGGTCTTGCCATTTCCTCTGATTGGTCTCTCTATGACACCCAGAAAAGTAGGGGAATGTCCCTCTTAGCCTTTCTTTCTTTGACCAGTTAGAGCAAAGTTGTCAAACTCAAGGCCTACATCCAGCCCAGCAAACAATTAAATCAGCCAGCGAGAGGATTCTTTGAACTTAGCATCTCAGACCTTTCTCGGACCATAAATGAACTTATTGCCATGAAAGGATTCCAAACATCTAGTTCTGACAAATTGACAAGGGCATGAATTGACATACCTTGTTTTATCATTTTAACCATTGTCTTTTGTTATATATATTATACATGTCTTTGTTTAAAAAAGATTTCGTTGTCCACAGCTTAATGTGTGCTCCAGTTCAGCCCACAACCTTAAAGGCGATTTGAGTTCAGCCCCCTGAGTGATTGCGTTGAACTCATATCTGATTTAGAGCAGAGCTACCTTAAAGTTCCCATTTCAGGTATTTGGACCCAAAAATCAGGTAGTACAAAGACAAAGAAGGAAAAAACAAAAGATGATCATTGCCCCAGTACACGTAGCTCTAGTTATCATCAAGCGGGGCATATTGCTGTTCGCGATATTGGGTAATTATATTTTGAAAACGTATGGCAAGCACAATGCATGTGTGTGTGTGTGTGTTTTAGTTTTAGTAGAGGTTTTACGGCGCTCGCAACTGCATAAGGTCATATTATGAGCGCCAGAAGATTAGAGCTGTTACAAGAGAGAGTAACAAACAAAAAAGATGAAGGGGAGATGTGTGTGTGTGTGTGTGTGTGTGTGTGTATGCGTGTCCCCAAGAAAGCGTCCTTGTGGGGTTTCAGGGGGCGCAGCTCCCAAAGAACTTGAAATTTAGCGCTTTTTTAAAAAGATGGTACTTGAAGAAATTGCCAACAACCCATTATAACACTTATTTTTATTCACCAATATTTTGTATTGCTGGATTTCTTCACCTACATATCTTTCCATAGCTGGCAATGTTTATAAGCAGGTTCCCTTTGCCAGTGCTACAATAGTTCAACAATTAATAATTATTTTGTTATCGAACCATTCACAATTTTCATCTGGATAAAGAAAAATTGGCAAAAGTTTCTTTCTGAAAGTGATTTTCTATCCAAAAAAATCACAGGTTAATTTACTTCGTCTTTGTTTTAAGGTCATATGAGCGCCAAGGGGTGGACGTCAAAAGAGAAGTCCTTACAGGGAATCAGGCTTACAGTGGCTTACTCTGCTCACTGCTCACCTCTATAGCTTCAACAGCACAAAGTCTGCTTCGTCTATCAAGGCATCCCGGAAATAGCGGGTCACAAGAGTGTGACAAACATACATGATAAGAAGTATAGGAAAATGACGATAGTAAGGATTAGGAAAGAAAAAGCAGTAGTTCCCTTTTGTAGTTGAGTCAGTGGCACCACCCAAGGGGGTATCAATTTACTAGATTAACGCGTACATTTTTCAGGGGGCGGCAACAATCTGAAGATAGACAGAAAGAATGAGAGAATGAAAGAAAGAAAGAAATTTGCACAAAAAGTTTGTGATCACGCCTAGCCAAATTTGGACTAATCCGCAGGTAAAAATGTATTGCCGACCAACCCGCAATGAAAGCAACACATAATGGCAGATTGCAGGAAATGCGCCATCTGTGGACCTGCATGTGAGCCTCAACCAGATTGTCTGAAAATTGTGTGCCCCCCCCCTTTGTGGGTGTCATAAAAGGACATGGTGATTTATTTTTTTTTAAAATCGATTTTTTTAAATATTTAAATCAAGATTTTTAAAATTTAAATCGGATTTTTTAAATTAAAATTTTTTTTTTTAAATATCGACACAGTTTAGGATTTTTGGTTGCTAAAAGTATGTTCTTTTAGTGCAAAATGCATTGTCTTTATTTTAACTCATGATTAATTTAAGCAACCGCAAAAGAAAGTGACAGGGGGAAAGCAGACTTTTAAGCATGATTATATTAGTCTACTAAACCTTATATCTGTTTTATAAAACCAAGGAAAGGAATTCTGAATGTTTAAAGATGTAAAAACAGAATACATTTTTTAAAGTGATTTAAATCACTGAGTTTTATTTTTAAAATCAAGTTGATTTAAATTTTAAAAAATCAACTGATTTAAATCAACCCAGCTTTGATTTCAATTATGGAAAAAAAAGTAAATTGAATACTGTATTATTTTACAGTGAAAGGAGGGAAAGCAGACTTTTAAGCATGAATATATTAGTCTACTACACCTTATATCTGTTCTATGAAACCAAGGAAAGGAATTCTGAATGTTGAAATATGTAAAAACTGAATAAAAATAATTTTAAAAAAAAAGTGATTTAAATCACTGATTTTTATTTAAAAAATCAAGTTGATTTAAATAAAAAAAATCAACTGATTTAAATCAACCCAACCCTGTAAAAGGAAGGACTTCCGTGTAACGAGCAACCACCCCTAACAAACACAATAAGGAAGAGACCTAACCCTAACCCTAAAACCCTTCCCATACCCTTAAAAGTAGCCCTCTATTCTACTTTTGTCTCATAGTGGTCGCTCATTGCGGAAGTCCTCCATGATAAAATAGCAGCACAGGTACAAGAATACGGCCCTTCAGAAATGTAAAAGAGCCAGCAAAAGTCCAAAATGAAAACAAAAACACACCCCAAAACAAATAAGGAGCATAATGGGCTAAATTGCTGTAAGAGGGGATACAATATACACAGTAGGGGAAATCTTTTGTGATTTCGGAAAGTTTCAACACCCTCTTGGCTCAGGGTAGACCTCTAAGTTCTTCTAGAGAGACATAAATCATAGATCTAGTTTCAAGGCCTAGATCTAAATGAAGATTGCAGCATCATTGCAGATGTCTTTTCGATGAACAATCCTTTTTTTTCCCCCTCCGTTTTGGAGTTGGAGGAATCAATAAGACAATCTGAAGAAAAAAACAATGTCATAGATCGAATAGTCACCCTCTCTATTTCTCTGTCTCTCTCTCCATCTCTCTCCCCTCTTTTTCTGTCTCTCTTTCCTTTGTGTATCGCTTGCCTTCTCTTTCTCTTTATTTGTCAGTCTTTCTTTCTCCCCCACCTACTTTCTCACTCTATCTTTCTCTCGCTCGCTCCTGTCAACTGAAGCATGATATTTGCTAGCCCTTCCCCCTGTTCTGTACCCCCTCCTCTCTCTCTCTCACACACACACTATACCGGGTCTGGGTGCTGAAACTTTCCGTAATCACAAAAGATTTCCCCTACATGGTCTGTTTACTTCGTGACTTTGTACCCAGTTACCGAGATAGATCTAAACTTCGCCTGATGAAATGCTCTTTTACCAACATTAACATTACAGCATAACCTATAATTATAGGATTTGACAATAGAATTGGAAAAGAATCCTCCTTAGAGGACTATAATGATCTATATAAATCTAGATCCAGTAGAACTTGACAAGTGAGTAGGCCTTAAAAGAGTGAATAAATCAAAATCTGAACCATCAGTCAACAGACGAATTCAAAATGGCCGCTCAAGCAAGAAACTGAAAGTAGATCTAATTTAGGTCGTCGCCCTTTTTCGTATTCGTATTTCTACTCAGGTTCCGACAATTATGCCGGAAACGCCGACGTTGGCACGAATCAGCCAGGCCTCACACTTCGCATATTGACTAATACAGGTGGGCCTAGCTTTAGCATCGGCAGGGTAGCGGGTCGGGTCGCAATTGTCAGACTCCATACGATTGTCGGCCAACATG